GCGGGAACTTGCGCTGCAGACCGGTGGGCATACACGCGTCGCTGATGGCCGTAGTAAGTTTGCCCATCTTCGTCTTGACCGTCATATCGAGGCCGGCCATTTTGTTGTCATCCCGCAGCACGTCCTGCAGCAGAGAAGTGAGAGCGGGCTTGATCTCGTGTTTGGGGGTGTCTTTGAGGGATGGGAAATTCTCGATTGCCGCCTCCGTTCCCCAGTTGCTGCTCTTCTTGATCAAATCCGTCCTCCAGCGATTGCCCTCCGGGGTGAGAGTGAGATCGTCCATACGACATGTGAATGCGCGATGTTGGAGGAATTTGGTGAACAGTCGACTGAGGATTCCTAATAGCTTGCCCGCCACTTCCGACCCATACAACTCGTACACCGAATGCACCATGCCGTAGTCTGATGCTCCAAAGGCTGCTTTGTCGAGAACACCACATAGCAGTTCGCCGTCCATGAAGATGACCTTATCCTCTTTCGAATCGTTACCCCAGAGATGTCCCGGCACTTTGGTCTTCGCATTCAGATTCAATCCGTCCATCCTCTCTGGTGTGATGTTCCTCAGCACAGTGGAAATCTACACACATCAGCTTCGAGTCAGAACGGCCATCGCAAGTCCCTCACGATCTGCTTGCCAGTCCAAAGAGGGCGGGGCTTCCATATTGTCGGCGGAAGTGTCACCAGCCTCGGAGGTTCTCCGCCCTCGTATACGTCATCTTCAGGCCTCAAAGCGCCATACAGAAGCTGAAAGTACTCTGCCCGAGTGAAGAACGCGTCTTGAGTGGTCATCCATACACCAGCCACCACGTGATCCTGGATAAGACCGCGCAGTGGGTTTCCGGACGTAGGGACCAGGTATTGGTTGTCGGTGTTGGCGATAAACATCGACTCGGCGCGAGAGATTTGGTTCTCTGTGCATCGATTAGGAAGACGTTCTCAGACGATGCTGGTCTACTGACGAGGGAAGTGAATGTTCATTTCTGAGGTATGACTTAGTATGATAGGAACTTGTAACATAATGCTGACTTACCGTCACCATCGAAGTCAGCTGCAGGAGCTCATGAGCTACAGTTCCGGGTCGCGAAGAGGACTCACCATTGTAGGAGTTACTAAGTAGCCATTAGTATCAGGTGAGATAAGATTGAATGCTGCTCACCAGTTCGCGTAGTGCATTCGGATTGTCTTTTCGCCTCGCAGCACCCGTGCCTTATGAGCCATCATACTGGGCTTGTGGAGCGTCGGTTGTCGGTTGAGGATAAGCATGTCTCCATCTCGCAAATGACGATACACTTTCTTGTTGATAGCAGGTGTGCGTGTGTACAATCCCCGACGAGCCGTTCCCCCGTGCTCGTTCTCTTGGGGCGTGAGCAGCTGATTGGCTATGGCTGTGCGTTGCTCCACAGTCAATTTGTCCTGTAGGCAGCGTGAGATGACCATTCCGACGAGAACGTGGCCCAACGCACCAAAAGCACTTGATGCCCATCCTCGTATTCCACCAAGGTTGCTCCAGGATAGCCCTTTGGTCCGGTAATCACCCGCTGCCTCATCTCATGGAAATTGGCTGGTGTTACAGGCTCCGGAAACGTAAGCTTCTGAGCAAACACGGGCGGAACGCCGATCTCGTTTGGTTCAATGTTAACATCTGGAGAAATGACTGAACGAGCAGCATAGTTGACACGTTTGCCCTGTGGGTTGTTAGAATATGTAAGAGCATGCAGGCTGATCTCACGCACCATCATATGCATTCGGAACAATCCCTCCTTCTTCTCCAATCCTTGCTTAACACCAGCGGGTGGCAGCTTGCCCTGCCTCATGGGAGTCGGATTCTTGCTACTGTCCATGAAACTGTTCACATCGACTTGGAGTTGCACCAGGTTTTCCAGCAGACTAGACATTATCCTCTTGCGCAGGGTCTCATCGAATTCGGGTGTCTTCACCGATGCTTGTCGCAGCTGCAGATTCTGATCCCGCAGACGGTAGCACGTCCGGAGAATCTTCTCCAGCAGCTCGTTCTGCGGATGCTCGAACAGCTTGTCACCCATGTGCGCTGCGGGTCGGAAGCGAGTGGGCGCGACGGGGACCGCGTCCAGAAAGAACATATCGGCTGACGCGAGCGAGAGACCTTCGGCGGAGACTGCGGCAAAGGGACCGTGCCTGCCGTAGAGCAGCGAGCACATCTCGGGTTCGTTTTCGAAGAGCCGGCGCAGATGTGCACGGCATTCCTCCGGTGTAACGACCCTTTCATTCCGTCCGCGCGATGTCTTCACGCGACCGTTGGCTGCGCGGGGAAGAGCGTCCACAGCAGAGGTTTGCTTTTGTGGGCTTTCCATCAAGTCTTCTCCGTCATCCTCTTCGTCCTCTTCGTCCTCACTCAGATCCTCGGCATCCGACATATTGGCATCCCCGTCTCCTGCAGCCCTGGTTTCAGAAAGATGCTTCGCCAGTTTCTTTTCTTGTTCCCGAAGCAACACATCCGGGCGTTTGCGCACACACTGAGCCTTTTGCTTCTTCGACAGATCGTATTCGACAATCTTCGTATGTCCTTCCTTGCGGAATGTGTATGCAGGACTGCCAGATTGAGCGAAGGCTAAAGAAGTCAACAAGAACGCTCACCATCCACAATCTACGTTCCGACATTTTGATAATGAAGAGGCTTTCAAAAACTCCGCAATCAGCTCCTTCCGAGCTCGGTACACCAATCCATCCTTGTAGTTGTCCCGCTTGGAGTCGCTAGCACGTTTCAGGTGCAGCATAACATACATGTTAAGTCGTTTGATGAAGGCTGCAGGCGACTCGCTGGGAACGGTAACTATGCGTCCACCCGCTTCATCATCGGAGCTGTCCTCATCCGATTTCTTCGACTTCCCCTTCTTGGCCTTGGTCTTCTTCTCCTTGGGAGCAGCAGCTCGGGTGGAAACTCGGAGGTGAATATCATCCACACCCTGCGCGGCATCCAACAAGCCGTGCTCCAGAAGTCTGAATTTGGCAACGTATTTGGCGAGCTAAGATTTGAGAAAAAGGTGTTGGAATTGTCTCGGAGGTCGTATAGCGCGGAGACTTACGACGGTCCTTCCCATCTTGAACTGGTGGCAGAACAGACAGGTATCCCGAAACAAATTGAACATATTCCCCATGAAGAGAGGATGAAAAACGGGTGCGGGGAGGTCGATGTGTCCGAAGTGGCCAGGGCAGGTGAAGAACGTCAATCGGCAGGTCGAGCAACTGGTACCAGCCATCAAACGCACGAACGGGAAACCGTTCAGATTGTACTCACATATCCTGCTTCTCCGTTGGCCCCAGCGCCGGATCGTAAAGCCCTCCCACACTCGGCCGGTTCATATCATCGAGTAGATTGACATTCACGATCTGCTTGACCGAAATCCGGCGCACGTCTTCGCTCGTGAGGAAGGAAAAAGAAATGCCCTTCACAGTCGAAGACAGACTGTGCGCGATGTTCATGGTGAATAAAGGAGCGTATTAAGGACGCGGAGTGTGTCGGACGGTGGGTGCAGAGGGCTCGAGGCCGCACGGGCGCGGTTGTAGCAGACCCGACGAAGTGATCGCAAGGAAACTTTTTTGGCGAGACGTGCGGTGGCGGTGCTTGATTTCATCGACCGGGTCCGAGTTCAACTTGACTGGAATTTCCGAGGATGTTCAATCTCAAGTCCCACCCATTCAAACCGTTGCAGGTGGAATAATATTGTGCGACAAGAGCATAAATGTGGATCAGAAGCACAGATGTGAATCCAGCGTCGACTTCAAAGTTGGATGACCGCCCTTTCGTCATACTCAAATTACTGAGTAAATATCTTAAGTAGTACTTGAGGACACAGCTAAGTCGAACCTGGAGCTAACTTCATGGATATTTGGCGTATATATGTGCAAGAAGAAACCGTTTCGGTGCTCCAGTTGCCGACAATAGTTGTCAAGGTCCAGTGGACGCCTACCAGTTCAGTCTACATTACTGCACAGGCGTTCAGGACCTCTCTGATCAATCTTTTCTGAAAATAGTGGGCCCAAGTCTACTATGAAGGAAGAAATTCCATGTCCAGATCTCGGTTCAGGCGTAGTATCAGAGGCGCAGCTCTCTGGCTCCCTCATTAAGCGCAGAGTTCACATGGATCTGACCAAACTAAATGCAACGACCTACAGACAAGACAGACTGCATATAACTGCATATATATGAGACGATGATGCCTATTAGTGAGATAAGCCTCAGTCAAGGCGAGGCCATAATCAAAATCTGAATTGACGAATAGAGTTGAACTCAGTCTGTCAGATGTATCGATCACATCGCTTTCCCCGCTTATACAACATTTCAGGGAAAAACGTAGTCCAGATCTTGCAGTGCTCGTGGACTTTTTGACAACGACCAGTCCTGGAAGAGAGCAGTAAGAGGAAAAATCTGCATGAGCATTGAGAACCTAGATCATCAGCAGAGTCGCAAATTTTCATGCAAATTTGGCGCTAGAGGATTGTAAGGGGATATTGGGTGAAATTCTCCTCAAGCAATTTTCCAGACAGGTAAACAGAAACGGATTTCCCGCAGTGAATCGTTCACTTTCATAATGACCAGATGTGAACTATTTTTGGGGACTGGTTTGGCTGGAAGATAATCACGACTTTTATATTTATGAAAGGCCATTTATTCTGATGATCGTCAAGACCTTCAATTTGTCGCAGCAGAGCTCAGTCCATCCACGCAGTCGCGCTATGGATGATTGATGATGAGTCACAAGCGCGTCCTGTCACATCACTGTCACACTTTCGTCCTTTCTATCAACGCTGCAGACCACATCATGATCAGATTTGGTTCTTGTCTGCGAACTCTGTTGGCGGTCTTGAGGGTACACACGGACGAAGAGACAGCAAAGCTTCATTGAGGGATGGATGTCGACGCGTGGGCCGAGCTACGGGCCACACGCTGGCTCTGAGGGATACGACCTGAAACCAGTCCAGTCTATCGTGAGCCGTTGAGCCAGAGTCAGCCTCACGACATCCTCAGGACTATTTCCACTACTTGCCCATGGATTTCCGTCTCTATTCTTAGTAAGAGCGTCAAACTCCCATCGTGAGCGAGGAACCGGAGCCATTGGACTGGGTGGCGCAATGCGTCTGAGCCGAAGTCTTGCAGGAACTCGTGGGCTACTTCTTCGAAGACCCGGAATTTGTCCAACATCTCGAGTCGATGGTCGATGAATCCTATCCCGACCTCCGCCACGCTGCACAGATTTGGCTGAATACCTACGTGGGCTACGATCGGGACCACTGTAGCTGGACGGGGATTCCCACCGAGGCGGAGCAGGAGAGAGATCTGTACGCTCCGGTGGTCGAGCTTCTGGTCCGATTCTTGGCGCATTTCCGGGAAACGATACCAGTCTCGACCCGAAACCCGGACAGGCGCTCGATGCGGCACGTACATCCCATTTTCGAGAGCCGATGCAATAACTTGCCGATTTCGGCTCCCGGTAGTTGGAGGAACATCCAAATCAAGTCTGCGCCCGATCTCGCCGTTCTTGCTGTCGGTCGATCGGTCACCCGGGAGTCGGCATATCTACCGAAAGTAGAGTATCGACAAATAGGGGCCCCAATGAAAGTCGAGCTGAAGGACGCCTTTGATCTGGAAGCACGACGCCAGATCGGGATCTATGCTCGCAAGGTCTTCATCGCGCAGCAACACCGGTGTTTTGTGTATCTCCCAGTATTGACTGGGGCGGATGGTGTGATTCGACTGCTGTGGAGCACCATTCAACTATCGCAAGGATCCGCTACGCTTCATGAAGATGGTCTTCACCCCACAATGGGCGACGACACGCGATTTATCTGGGAGAACAATAAGCGCCTGCTGCGGGTCCCCGGCGCCCACGTTCGAGACGGCGACGCCAGCACCTGGTAGGAAACAACGCAGGAGCTCTCGTTCGAGGTCGTTGATGATACAGGTGTCGCTCGTGCTGATGTGCGACCGGTCTTCGTCCGGAAAACGACTCGATCTTGGGGAACGACGTGCTGAAGAGTAAGATCCGTTGCCACACACGAGATCTTCATGGTCAAGATCGCTTGGGCGCAGAATCGGGACCAACGAAACCATCAACAACACCAGGGAAATGAACGTAGGATTTCCAGACGACGGCCAGGGCACTCTCTTTCACAGCTTCGATGAAGCAAGCTGCAAGGCTGCCATCTCAGAGCTCAGAGCTCTACCATCTGCGGCACTCGAACTTCCTCTGCCTTCGCGAGCCAGTCCGGCCCCTTCTACAGGCTCAATGAAACATTCCTAGGCCAGCAGTTCCGATGCATTTGGGAACAAGAAGCGGAGTATGACAGGTGGTCAAAGTATCTCGATTCAAGAAGGACACGACGACGACGTGCACTTGGACCTGGGTTAACCTCTGAGTCCGACCATTGCAAGGATTTGAGTTTCGGTCCTGATCCCAAACCTATGACCAGGGTGGGCAAGCTTTGTCAAGGGAAGCAGGGGTGGAGTGCTACATTCAGGTTGTCAACAATTCACTTGGTGTTCATCCTCCAGGCCCTTCAAGATTTGTTGTCAACTGCGATGCCGTGTATGCGCACAGATGCAACTCTTCAGGCATTTCGTCGCGAATCAGCATTCGGTTCTGAGTGCTGCCAACCCAATATCGCTTTGGATACATACCAGTTCAACTATAGGATCATGCGTTTCGCGTTTTTTCCAGCCAGCATTCAACAATCGTTCGCGTATGGATGACCTGACAAGTGAGACACCCGCACAGTAGATTACAAAATTGGCATTTGCTAAGGCATCCAAAACACAATTCGACGAAAAGTAATGCACAAATCAGATAAGCTCTGCAGCGTTCACTGGCATTTCATCCTGTCAAAGTGTTTCAGCAAGTTTCAACCTTCACGACACAATAGAGGACAAACAATCTGAGTGCTGTAGAATTGTTCTGAAAGCAGATATGAGATAGCGATGTCATGGTTGCGCAGGTACTCACCGATATCACGCAGGATACGAACGTCGTCAACAGTCACAAACTGGAGCCCAATGAACCAACAGATCAAGTCCAGAAAGAGCGATACGCACGTTGATGGCAACACCCTTGCGACCGAAACGACCAGACCGGCCGATACGGTGAATGTAGTTTTCACGGTTCGCAGGGAGATCATAGTTGATGACCAGCGAAACCTGCTGCACATCGATACCACGCGCCCAAACGTCCGTTGTGATCAACACACGCGATGTTCCTCCGCGGAACTCTGCCATGATAGCATCACGCTCCTTCTGCGCCATCTCACCGTGCATTGAAGACACCGTGAAATTTGAATTGCGCATCTTTTCCGTCAACCAGTCGACCTTGCGTCGAGTGTTGCAGAAGATAACCGCTTGCGTGATTGTCAGAGTGTCGTACAAGTCGCACAGCGTGTCGAATTTCCAGTCTTCCTTCTCCACGGCGACGAAGAACTGCTTGATGCCCTCCAGCGTCAGTTCGTCACGCTTGACGAGAATGCGGATGGGGTCGGTCATGAATTTTGTTGTCATCTCCAGCACGTCGTATGGAAGGGTAGCGCTGAGCAGAACGACCTGGGTGGCGGGAGGGAGGTAGCGGTAAACGTCATAGATCTGGTCTTTGAACCCCTTGTTCAACAACTCGTCAGCCTCGTCAAGCACCAACATCTTGATATTGCGTGTACGCAAGCTCCGCCGCCGGATCATGTCGAACACACGGCCAGGGGTACCAGAGACAACGTGCTGTCCGTACTCCAGCTTACGGATGTCCTCCCCAATCGAGGTTCCGCCGATACACGCGTGACACTGCACGTTCATGTAGTCGCCCAGCGCGAGTACGACAGACTGTATTTGCGTGGCGAGTTCACGTGTGGGGGACAAAACGAGGGCCTGTGTCTCTCGCACGTTGATGTCGATGGACTGCAAGATGGAGATGGAAAATGTGGCAGTTTTACCAGTACCCGACTGTGCCTGTGCAATGACATCCCGCCCTTGTGTTATAGGCAGGATGGCACGCTGTTGGATCGCAGAGGGCTTTTCGAAGTCTTGTCGTCGAGATAGTGAGGCGCGTATCCAACGCGATAGAGCAGAAAAGACGCACTGTACGCGTAGATGCCTCGAACAAGATCCTCCTTCAACCCCAAGTCGTCGAAAGTGGACACCACGGACACGGCCTCGGAGGACTCGAAGACGAGTTTCTGTCAAAATGTGAGAGATGTGGGGATGTTTGAGGGGAAGCTGACTTGCGTCGTCGCCGGCGTTTATACCAGACATGATAGTTGAGTTGAGGGTCTGGCTATGGCGGAGTTTGAATCACGTCTTTTTCGTAACTGTCTGGACGCGCATAAGCGTCTGTCTCTCACCGCCATGACTCAATCCTTCATTTTCAATTCCTCTGTTGAAGCCAAACGCTTCTCTACCAGGAAAACCCATATCCGCCGTCTCTACGATGTGATGGAAATCTGCCTTCAGCGCGGCGACTTCGCGCGAGCTGCTCGCGCTTGGGCTATCTTAGCTCGGTGCGAGGAAATCAAGTGGAAGAAAATGTGGGTGACGGGCTTGCAACTCCTCGGCCCTGAGCCCAACAAAACGACCAAGAAAATCGAGTTTTTACGCGTGATGATGTTACAACAGCCCGAGGAAGTGAGGGTCGAGTCAACGACGTCCGGTTGGGTCTGACAATGAGTCTCTGTGCCAGCGCGAAAGCATTCTCCAAGAGCTAGTGCTCCATTTGATCGCCTCCGGTGAGCACAGAGAGGCTTTGGACGAACTTGAGCTGTATGACGCCTCTATTTCTCATTCCGACCAATGCATTGAGAGGCACGTAGGTACCTACCCTCCTTTCCTTACCAGGATAATCCGGCTCTTCACGTGTACGCTGGACTGCTCTGCTTGTTCTTGGCTCAACCTGGCGGTAAAGATCCTGGATGGCATCTAGTCTAACACGACCCACTTCCTACAGAGCTTTCAACTTCCCTCGATCCCAGTCTACTACGAGATGCCCAATCGCATCTGGAGCGTGCATTGGCTTTGGATACGGGAAATGTCGTAGCACAAGGTTTTCTATTCAAGGTCCCCTCTCCCACGACGACATTCACACGAAGTAGCTAACCAAAGAGCAGATTCGATCGCTGAGTGGCAATAATGCAAATGCCGATGCCGAGTCGGACGAAGAAGACCTGCCGATCCACACTCGGAATGCGAAACGGCCCAGAACATGAATGCGAGCGCAGGTTACTCGGAATCCTCCGAGTCCGAGTCCATGTTGAGCACCGGCATTTCCTCATTTTCGTCGTCGTCGACCTCCATCCGCATTTGGGTGACTGTAGTAGCCAACGAAGCTGGGACTGGTTTTGCTGGGGTTGTTGGTGCTGGTGTCATTGCAACAGTTTGGGGAGCGAGCTGGGTGGCCATCTGTGGCGGGGGTAGTAGCGGCGCAGAAAATACAGGCGCTGTGATCACCGGCGTTGGAGCTTGAGCTGGCCTGGACATGGACAGATCATCGGTGCTGGCAGATATTGGTGCGACTTTTTCGACTGGTTCGAGTGGTTCCGCAGAGGCCAGTCCCAGGGACTGTCGCAACTCAGCCTCCGCCTGGCTTTCTTCTGCGTGAGAGAGCGACAATGACTCAATCCAGGGCAAGGAACGAAGCAGCGGAGGAAGACGAGGGTGCAAAAGAATTTCGAGATCAGGATCTCGCTGCATTTTTGCTATGAGCGGAATCTGATCACAGACAAGCGCCTGAAACTCACATGTACCGCTGATAGATTGGAATTGATGACTAGTCCAAGGCTCTTACTCATTCCTCCCGTCGATCCGGTAGACAACTCCAGAGTCATGTCCTGTACCACGGCTGTGACCTCGCCATGAAGAAGGTGATCAGCGGAAACTGCTGCTGCTGATATTTGCGGCAATTTCAGCATGATTGAGAGGACGACGCGGGAAGATATCGAATGGAGGGCTGGCGAGAGGGTGTGATTGCGCAGAATGATCCGGAGCACTGTTATCGTAAAGGCCAGGTCAAGGAAATGTCTGCGATCAAGTTGTAATTTCTCTCACCTGCGAGGGATGCTAATACAACTTTCCCGTCCACTGCGGTTGGGCAGATCACATCTCGAGACAAGTTGAAGAGTTCGTCGCCTTCAAACTCTCTAGCCCTTTTTTTGCCTTTTTTACTACGGCCACTCGTTTGAGTATCTCCATTAGAGACATCTTGCTTTGAGACAAGAACGGATACAAAAGGCAGGAGAGTTTTAGCCAAACCATTCACAAGCAAGGGTGAATCGAGTGGCAGACACTTGAATAGCATCGCTTCCAACGCCACAAGAAAAGACAGTCGCTCCGAGCTGTGGTGAGTATAAGCTTATAGAATGAGCTCGGGCTGGCCACTCGCTTACGCAGTGGTGGACTGCTCGAGTTGAGACACCAGACAGCCAACGACGGTCGTCGCATTGGGAGTCAGACGACGGCCTAGACTGCATCGGGAAATGGCTGTCAGCACGCAGGAAAGTTGAGAAGCAGGAGTGTACCATTCTGCGAGTCGGATGATTAAATCAGAGCCAATTTTCCAGATGTGCGGGGTAACAGAGGCTTCCATATCACGTCTTGAGTAATCGATATGATGCTCTACCTGGCACTGGCTGAGGATGGACACTCCCCGAAGACTGATTATCGCACCTTTTCGTCCTTGAGACATCCCACAAGTGCCAACGCGAATTTGAGGAGAGCACCCAAAGGGATTTGCACAGCACGGGCCGTGTTGGTTTTCAGTAAATCGCTAATGGCTACCACGCTGCATTTTAGTCGATCTAGATTGAGAGGAACAGCGATCCGTGGGTCCTCAGCAGACGCTGAGGGCAAACGACCTGCCAAAATGAGTTGTTGCAGATATCATTCGGGGCAGAAGGCGCGTACCATCAACAGAGAATGTAGTTCGTATAGCGTAGAACGAGTTCCACCCTTGCGACAAGCTATCCTCCATAGCTTTCCTCCATAGATTGACGGCTCCGACTTTTCCACCAGTCAGAGGCAGAGTAGCATATAAGCAGGAAGCGGAATGGACCAGTCTAGGTTCGGTGGTATCGAATGGGCTACCGTTCAGAACACCGAGACAGATCGTAGACAATCCGCCCGACCAAGTCCGGTGCAGAGTCGGATAGACTATGACCAGCGCAGTAAGAGTGGACAGAATCAAGCACTTTAGAATGTGAGCGCTTCGAATCAAAGCCAAGAAGCTCTGCATACTCTCAACTCGACATCTGACTGCTTGTCCACAAGTGCCATGCACGCAGTAGTAAACTTTGCAACATTCGGTGTTGCGACTTGTCTCTGGAACTCAGGCATGTCCGCAGCCTCCGTAAACAGAATCCGCAGGAGTCGTATCGATGCAGCTAGTACTGGAACGGGTTCTTGTTTCTTGGGATGTCACGCTTGAGCTGCATACCCCTTGAACACCAGAGGCGGAAAACTAACAGACAACAACGGCAGAACGCTCCCGATCCAGCTCTGTGCGTATTCCAATAGAATGGGTTTCGCGAGAATACCACTCTTCTGCGCCAGGCAAAGCCCCGCCCACCGCGCGTCGGCAGTTTTCGCGTGCAAAAGTGAGTTGATTCGTGCCGTCCATTTGGTCAAGTGCGGGGAGGGTGCAAAGTTCTCCGCCGTCAGAGAGTCGAGAATGTACGGCAGATGAAGAACTGCGTAGGAGTCCGATCCGAGTTGGAGTTGCAAGAGGGCCTTCAGAGGATGTCGCGCGTCCATCAGCGGTAACAAAAATTTGGGAACGGGCCCGAGAAACCCTGAGCTCGTGGCGGTGCATCGATCACTCGATCTTGACACTTCTCAATTGGTACACCCGACGTGCTGCTCATGTCGAGGCCCCCTGCTTTAGACTCCAGTGTCGAGGAGCACCTCCAATTATCAGCATTCAAGGTATTGAAATCAATGCATTTGTGGCATACCAGTAATCGAGCAATAAATCAGGCCAAATTCGATGTCACGGACTTCGTGGGGAATGTTTCCGAGAAACTAATCGCGCAGTCTAAGAGTAGCGCCGGCCGTGAGTAGTTTTGCCCCCATACGAAACACATATATTCATCTAGTCCATATCAGCATTTGACCCTACCCCCTTCATCAGCACCTTCGAAGCAGCTGTCGACAAGCTCATCGCTGTGCGTAAAGATGTGCAGGCCAAGACCGAGCAGATGGAGAAGGGTGTGCGCGTTTCGGAGAGAGAGTACTCGAAGAAGATGGCTGATCTTAACCGGGGCTTCGAGGTGCGTCGTGCTTTCTATCGGTGACCTTGACGGAGGCTGACCGTGCGCGACTCAACAGACTGTTGGCAACTCGTTCTCTGGCATGGAAAGCCGCATGAACGAAGTAAGCAGTACAGCTGTCCGGATCGGTGTGTTATATTCCTTCTCGTCCTTCATCTGAGTTCCTTGACAACCCTGTGCAGGGGAGCAACTAGAGTCGGTGCACATCGAGCGACAACGCGCCCAGGCAGCATACGATTTGATCGACTTCTATGTTCAATTCTCGCGGGGGGACACGACTAAACTGGATGCACTGCGAAAGGAGGGCAGGGCAGGCAGGAGACAAGTTGCTGTGCTTCTGAGGAGACTGAATACGGTCGCCAAAGAAGTTGATCTCCCCTCTGCGGACAAGGTACGCGTCGGGATCCCATATTTCATTGTCTAAACAGAACATTAGACCCGCGAGAACATTGAAAAGTATTGCGAGAAGTTTGAGAAGGAGATGCTGAACCTATTCGACCGATGCTATAGACGAGGTGATCCCAAGATGATGCATGCAAGTCACGCCTTCATCTCATGATGCATACGAGTGCTCAAGCCAGACAACTCAGCACTGCGCCCAAACTCTGCTCGAATTCAACGGCGGCAATTCTTGTGTGCAGGTGTATGTCAACCAGCATGATTTTTTCATCAACAATGTGCGAGAAACCAAGCCTGCGGAGGACACATTACTGTGGGTCAGTTTTCACACTTTTCTATCCTCCTTTTTGATTATTTTGTCAAGATGGAATGCACTGCCAGATCCAGACACTAGTCCACCGAAATCAGAAGTAGGACTGGAGGAATTGTTCGCGGAGATCCGAAACACTGTCGACACTGAGGCTCAGATCGTGAAAGCCGTTTTCCCAAATCCTCCAGTTGTGATGCAAGTTTTCTTGCAACGTGTGTTTGCACAATCGGTCTGTCTGTTTCCATCTCATCTAATCCTATTTTATCTTATCTTATCGGGCTAGATCCAACAACACATGGAGCAACTGTTGCACAGAGCAAGCACGATATCCGAGTTGGCGTTCCTTCGCGTGCTACAACTCGTGCATATACAGGCCGCGATACTCGTTGAAGATCTTAAAGCTTATGAGCTGCCAACGGTGGCGTCGAAGAGCAGCTTCGAGACATCGGAATTCCGACGTAGCCTGATCGGGTCAGCAGCACAGGCTACAGGGACGTCAGCGACAGTGAGTACGATGCTGGAGAGTGCGATGGAAGAGCTTTTCGTGCCGTACACCGAGGGACAGCGCTATCTAGAGAGGGAGAGCCGAAGTCTGGGGCCACTGTATGCGAGTCTGTTGACCAAGTTCACCCGATATCACGTGCGTGGCCCTGCTCTCGAACGAATGTGGAGATTTATCCGACTGGCTCCAGGCCAGGACACAAAAAGCTGGCAAGTCGTCTATGTTTGGGTTGGTGGTGAACCAGCTCAGTGCGGCGGCGGCTACCACTTCATCGACTGGCTCCGCTACGACGTCTGCCCAGGCTGCTGCAGTCCTAATGCGTATAGGAGGAATCAATGCTGCCCAGAAACCGTCACAAGATAAAGCAGGCGAAGAACCGATTCTCGAAGAAGATGGGCTTTTGGTTGTCGACACGGCGGAGACCATGCTCAAGTGGCATGCAGAAGCCGTCGGCCGCTGTGTCGAGCTCAGTCCGGCTGGTGATGTTGCAAAGCAGACTTTTGCGCTCATGCGAGTGTTGTCCGAGGCAATTGGGACCGCTTATGTGGAAGCAGCCATCGAAACGTCTGTGCTAGTCGCCTGCGCTGTGTTATGGCTCACTCAAAAGTCATTTATAGGGCCCAGGCTCGCATTGAAGCTGAACCCAAAGCTGAGCTCAATCTGCAGTACCTGATGGTGCTCAGGCAAGTGGACCTGATCTGCCATTTGTGGCAGCAGTACGTCAACACCGCGTTGCTGCCGCTCGCCAGCTCCTCGGTCACTGTCCGCCGTGAGATGGTCCTATACAACAACCAGACTCTGGGACGCCTGGAGGGCGCAGCAAACACACTTACACAGCGGTTAACGGACTGTAAGTGAATTGCCTTCCAACGGAATAACACTCTCATCTTCATAGCAATCGTCACGACACTGACCGCTCATCTGGCGAAACAAAACAAGAATGACTTCCGGCCTCGAAACGACGACCTGTCCTTCGCTCGAGTGAACACAGAACCCTGTGTCGCCTGTTGCGAAACCTTGGAGAAAGTGCGCGACGCAGCCAAGCAAAGCATGAGCGGGAAGAATCTGGAGGTGTTCCTGACTGAAGTCGGGGTCTCGTTCCATACCATGCTCCTACAGCACCTCCGAAAGTTTACCATCAACGACACCGGTGGGCTGATGCTCGCCAAGGACCTCAAGTCGTACCAGGATACGATCGCGACCTTTGGCATCCCAGCCCTTCACGAACGCTTTGAGTTTATTCGGCAGCTCGGGAACATTTTCCTCGTCAGACCGGACATTCTCAAATCATACATCGCGGAGAACTACCTCGGCAGGGTCGATCCTGCTTTACTCAGGCCGTATGTTGCGCTGCGCAGTGACTGGGGCCAGTTTGAGAAGGACTGGGCCGATGGCTCCGAAGATGCGGCGGGTCGTGGGAAAGGATTTAAAGACCGCTTTGGTCGGTTGAGCGTGATGATGAAAGAGCTCGAAGGTCTCAAGCAGGAGGGAATGAAACTAGGCGAGAATCTTCCTGCGATGCCAACCATCCCAATGGGTGGATTCGCGGGCGGGTTCTCTCTCACATCCAGATTCGGTTGAAGTCGTGTTTGTATTTCTGTTGTACATCCACCAGCAAGAGTGCTGGCTGGTCTCAGTGTTTAGGTCAAAGCAGATGGATGAAACGTGACTTGCGTTCTGCATAAGCGTCGGCTAGCTTCACGTCCGCTTCCTTTGTTGAGCCGTGCCCACCTTCGGGTCAGGACAGAAAGTCGAATCCTTGGAATGGTGGGAAACAGAGTTCTCAGATGCATCAGAGGTGCTGGCCCGAGAGCGTTTTGTCATGCTCTGAGCGCGGAAATGGTGATGCATCCGTCCCCTCGTCTTCAGTAATCGAAATGTTTTCTGAATGCGAATCACTATCCGCACCAATAATTGGAAACGACCTCACGACTTTTGATGTGCTGATGATCGATGTACCTAGTCCGGCTTCACTACACAGCCTGGGGCCGCCATCCTTCGAAAATGACCCATCTCGGAACCTCCCAGACCACGTTGCATCGGCACGCTGAATGCTATCGATGCCCCACTTCGAAATAAACTCACCCCTTCTTTCTTCCCATCCACCTCTGCACGATGTACCACCCGAGTCCCAATCAGAATCCGTTGTATAGTCCGAACCGTGCTTCCTTCTCACCTGACGGGCGGCGAAGCCCCAATCCGCAGGGGATGGGAAACCTCAGCGGCGGGATCGAGGGACGCCGCAGTCCGATCCCGATGGCCAATCCGATAGGCATGGGGATGGGCGCCGGAGGGATGGGTATGGACCTCGGCCGGCGCAGCCCCAATCCCATGCACCAGCCGTTGCCGGTCAGTAGCGGCATGGGTATCGGTGCAGGCATGGGCATGGGCATGGGCATGGGTGGCGGTTCGATTCCCAACAGTCTCACTGCCAATGGCATGGGCGGTGGGAGCGGCTTCGAAGTGGAACGCGCGACTCCATCCCGTCCGTCGTCGGCGATGGGACGGCCGGTTCAAGATCAGGGCGCTGGCTACAGCACAGAGAACATCTTCCGCGAAGTGACATCGCGCTTGATTGGAGCCAAGACCCGTCCCGCGAGCGTTTCTGGGCGAATCCCTCTGGATACCAGCAGCCTAGTTTTGTTCTTCCGATCCAAAGTGCGATGGCTCTGCTGAATCCGTTGATGCATTTTTTGATCATGAAGTAGACCAACGCGGCACACTCACTCGATTTCCCTATCGATCTCGAATATGGGAATCCGCCTCCCGCACTCGACGTCCTGATCGCCTCCTGTAAGCGAACGCAAGCCGCCGGATACGACGGAGCGGTGTACGACACCTTGCACTACCCGTCGACATTGCCGCTCACTCCATCGCTGGAGCTCGCGAACCACCCCATCATCGATGCCGTCCGTAACACACTGTTCCCCTCCCTTCCGGTTGGCCACCACCTTGTTGCACGCCGCGACCATCTCGAGGTCCTTCTCGCTGGGGGCCACAGTCCGCCGGAGCGAGGCACCTCCCGTGCGGATGGTCGCGTCGCCACGCTCAGCATCACTCTCCCTGCCCGCTTCCAGGGCGGGGCGCTTTCCATCCGGGATCTAGACGGGCACATGGAACGTCTACTCAGTGCTGCCCCCAACAATGAGCTGGAATGGACTGCGTGGTTGTCTGATGCCGAGGTCGAGGTCGAGCCTGTGGTCAAAGGATGCCGCATGGCCCTGCATTATGCTTTGTTCGCTCTCTCCTTCGCAGCACCAGCTCCGGGACTGTTTGTTCCCAGCCAACCGTTCATGGATCTCCTGCCGCCGGTGCTGCAGATGGCTCGAGGGCGGAAGGTCGCTTTCCTGCTCAGTCACGACTATGAGTCGGTCGATCCATCGGTTTCTATCGCAGAGAGTCTCGTTCCCTATGTATGTATTGGCTTTTCCGTAAATTGCTGCATCGCTGACATGGCACGGCAGTTGAAAGGAGGGGATTCAGTGCTTTACACCGCACTAAAGACATACAGACTTGCTCCTGCGTTGCACTGGAGCGCCGGAGGCTACATCTGGCCCGTGGACCACGCCGTCGAGCTCTTCAACGACGGCGCCGATGGTCTCCCCTCGGTTCCAGGCGGCTTCAACGCGGGTCGTCCCCCCAGGGCTGCAGGTGGCACCTTCAGTGCTTTGCAAGCCAAAGTAGAGGCCAGCGGAGCGGTCCCTTTCGCTGCTGCCGAGGTCACGCTTCTGACCGATTACCGCTCGCCAGAAGGCTCCCAAGTTGGGAAATCCAGAGTGTACTTCGTTCAGGAAGGATTGCTGGAGAAACTGGTGGTAAATGTCCTCATTGTCGCATATGTTCCGTAGGCAGGCTCGTCATGAATCGGATGGAATGTATTTTTACCTGTAATGACACTCAAAAGATTGCACCAAATATACTTGGACTACATTTCTGAAATGCAAGACGTATGTAACTTCGATGCCATCCATATAGAGTGCAAGGCACATGAAATTATGGCCGAACCAGCTGTCCTACTTGGTCATCGGGACCGCACCGCCGCTGGATACGTAAAAATGCTCGATCTCACTCGCCTCTGAATTCCGGGCGCCGTTTCTGTTTGAATGCCTCCAATGCTTCAAGCCGATCCCGCGTGGGGATGAGGAGGTTGTAGGTAGCACGCTCGAAATCAAGGCCTGTTGATGATGAGCCTTGGATGGAAAGTAAGACAACAGGTCGAAGCACCTGTCTCCAGAGGCAGATCTTCCGAGCGAGTGATAGCCAATTTCGCTGCCCGCACAGCCAGAGGAGCTATTCATTGCATGAGCGACCGAAATACAACGTTGAGGGAAAGGCTCGCGTACCATTACGAGCAATCAGCTCGGCCAGGGAAGCTGCCTTGTCAAAGGCGGACGGAGCAGTGTGGTCCACCAACCCTGCCGTACGTTGAGAAATCCGGAAAGAAACCAGCAATCAATCGTACCTAACCCGAGGGCGTCTGCTGCAGTCAACAGGCGGCCAGTGAAGATCAGGTCCTTAGCCTTGCTTTGCCCAAGAAGACGCGCTGCACGTTGTGTCCCTCCTGCGCCTGGGATGATACCCAATCCGACCTCTGGCAGCCCGATCTTGCTGACCGCTTGCCCTTTACACGCGAGTGAGACGTGTCGAGCTTCCGGTAGCAAAGCTGTCCGTAGTACCTGCTATGCGTATATCACAAGCCAAGGCCAGCTCCAGCCCTCCGCCCAGTGCCGGTCCGTCAATGGCAGCGAGGGTGGGCATGGGGAGTGCCTCGAGCAGGCCGAGGGCAGCGCGGAGACCGTTCAGGAACTCGCCAACCTGTGCGGGGGACATGGATCTCCGTTCTACTAGATCCGCGCCGGCACAGAACGAGCCAGGAGCGGAGGACCGCAGGATCACCGCGCGCACACTGGCTGGGGGGTCACCAGGGGGAGTTCGAGAAAGACTTCATCCCGCACCTGGAGTCCGACCGCAATGTGTCCAGACTTTCACGCAGCTCCTGTAGCGAGACAATATCAACCCCGGTTGCGGTCCTGCAATCGGATTATGGTTCGGGTACCTTGAGAAGTGTGGTGGAAATGGCATTCTTGGCTTCGGGGCGGTTGAGAGACAGACAGGTGATGTGCTCTGAGATAGGCTCGAGAAAGGCCTGCTTGGAGTATGCGCGTGCGAGTCGGAGCGGAACGCGCGCCGCGAGCGTGAAGCTGAACATGACGATGACGAGTGTGGGGAAAGCCGATCATGATCGATGGCTGATGATCGCTGTCAGCGACAGGCCTGAGTTAGCAGCGCGCGTACATGATGATCGATGCCCGCTAGTGCCTCTCTCACGCTCACTGCTCATCAGGACCTCGCATGCTGCCGCCGCGCTGATTGGCATGGAGCTAGGGCCAGAGGCTTCCAAGTTTCTCGAACTTCCTGACGAGATACTCCTCCTCATTCTAGGGGACACCGATCTCGAGAGGGACGCGTCGTTGCTCGGTCTCGCGTCGCTTTGCAGGAGACTGCATTTCATCGCATTGCCCATCTACCTCGCTGCGCACGGCATAGCGGACCCTGCCAAGTTCGCTGCGGTAACGATTGATGTTCAGACGGGGAAGGACACGCTTCTCGGGCTGCAAAGGGCGCTCTATCTTTCCGACGTCGAACAACTTGAAATATCGTGTTTTCTGCCACCTGGCGTCGAACCGGACATATCTATGATTCTGCGGCACTTTCACAGGCTCAATAGATGCGTGGAGCAGCTCAAATCTGTGCGACGCATCGTTTTCGACCTCAATATCCCAGAGAAAGAAAATGCTGATCGACTCGATACTGGAGACTTTGTCTGTTGGGCTGAGGCTTTGACCGTGGTGCTTTGCTCGATGCTCAACGCGCGGCTTGGGTGCACTGAGCTCACCGTGCGGGGCGGGGAGTTCTTCGCGGAGGCGTGGAAAGAGCTCGAGGTCGAACCTGCCCATCGACCGATTCTGCTACGTCCGATTTCCAAAGTATTGAGCAGGGACTCTGATGGATGGGACTCGAACCGGTGGAGGATAGGCAGCAATCAGTTTGTCTCCGTGGACTTGTTGGAGGAATGGACTGCCCTCAGATCTTTCAGCATCGAGTCCAGCATATTACTGATCAACCCATTCCTTGTTTGGACGCTCTCTGCCCTGCGGCTCTCTCGAATAACAACCTTCCAGCTGAGGGGAATCAGACTAGACTGTGCCACCTGGTCTCAAGTTTTGCGCGCTCTGGCCGCGTCTATCCCCGTCGCGACGAGCGTCGTTTTCATCGACCTGTACGGAATATCAGGCGCAGACATCCTCCATTTCCTCGAAAAGATTGGCCGCCAACTTCGCCGCCTCACGCTTGGGTATACAGAATACAGCTTCCGGGTCCAATCATCATGCCCCGACTCGGCGCCGTGCCCGAAGATGCCGTTGCTGGAGCGTCTGCACGCTCCACTGCCCTTTGTGACACATTTCCTGAAGAAGGCGGTCAACGTGGAGAGCCTGAAGACGCTCCGTGTTTCGCCGCGGATGCTGATTAGCCGGCGGTTCGGCGGAATGCGGCACGCAGGGAAGACCGTCCTGGCGGTACTCGATCATCTGCGCAAGCGGAAGGCCTTGCACAAAGTCCAGATCGAGCTCGAGATGCATTGCGGACCGAAGGCCGCGTGGGCATCCGCCATGGAATCCGACCTACTCGATCCGTTCCCTGCTGAGATGACGGACGCATTGTCTGCCGTGCGGCGGCTGGTCCTGCTCGGAGACTGGGACACGGTCCGGCCAGACGTGAATCTGGATATCCTGGCCAGGTGGATCACGCAGTTCAGTGGCGTGACTCAGATGTCTCTGCGACCCGAATCTGATGCGAAACGACCGCAGAAGGCGACAGCCGCGTGGGCTAGCGCTAGCAACGCACGATTGTTGTGCGCTCGAAATCCGAATGTGGAGCTGTTGGAGTTGGATGGAAATATCTTTGATACCCGCCTCGCATGTGAGTTAATAGCTGGAGAGATACTCACGATCTTAACCACCAGCTTCTCTCCAGCATTCAAGCAAGCCACCGGGGACATTTTGATACATATTTCATCTGATTGAGCAACTGAGTGGAGGCAAAGAGGAGCATTTGCTTGTTATGTATGATCTTAATTTGCCTTTGGACAGTTGGGACTGTTCCCGGCTCACATTTACACCCACGTTCACGATGAGACTCGATTCCAAGCAATCAAGGTCGAATTAGATCTTTCCATGTCAATCGCTGACGCCTCCAAAACATATGGAGTCCGTCGCGGAACTTTGAAGATATTCTCTGCTGGAAGATCTATGCTCCTGGAAAACCCACCATACATTAGAATGCAGTGAATCAAATGGGGATAAGCATAGAGACAAGGGTAAGTAAATGTGATGAGAAGTCAGTAAAAGCGTTGTCCTAGCAACAATAAATGTAATCGAAATGGGCTCAGACGGCCGTTCCACCATAGAAGGAATCCGCAGTAGAGTCGCGTGGCACACCAGTTGTGTGTGCCGGGTGAGAGTATGGATGGGGCGAGAGCGACGGGCGGAAGTTGTCCGGTGTCACGCTGTACGCGCCATCGTGTGTGTTCTCGGAGGGATAGAGATAGTCCTGCTGCCCATTGAACGGATTCGACGCTGCTGGCTGTGAGTACTGCTGCTGTTGCTGCGAGTACTGCTGCTGCTGCGAGTACTGCTGCTGCTGAGAGTACTGCTGGTCGTAGGCGCTGCCCTCCGAGTAATACGACTGTGACCCGGCATCATGCGACTGGTGCACGGACTCGCCAGCCGCTCCAGGTACAGCAGCAGTGTTGTAGTAGTGTTGGTAGTTGTACTGTGCGTCGGCCGGGTCAACTGCGTAGCTCGCGCCTGGAGGATACCCAATAACATCTGCGCCGTATGCCTGTTGCTCTCCATGGTAAGGATTGTACGCATGTTCCCCGGCCGCAGCAGCAGCGCCGTAACTTGCCTCGGTCGTGTCGACGAGGTACTGATCATGGTGCTGGTGCCCGTAGTTGGGGACCGGCGCCATATGAGCATCAAGCGGGTCATTGTTGAGCGAGATCATGCTCGGTCCGGGGGAGTGATTGTGCTCGTTCCGCCCTGGAACAGGGTCCACCGGCGCCTTGGTGTCGTAGAAAGTGTCCCGGATATCATCGCGCTTCGACCTGCGTTTGCGGGCGACGACGAACCACAGACCGAGCACGACCACAAGTCCTACGCCGACGAATGTCCCTGCGACTACAAAATCGTCAGCTCACTCAATTGCAATAAGGACGCGAGCCGAGCACACCTTCGCCTTTATTTCCCCAGAAGCTACGAAGCATCGGATGAGTAAACGTCACTGGAGGGCGCGAGCATCGACTCACCCTGTAGACGCCGCGTTGACCTGGGTATTAGCCGTGACAGTGGTAGTAGGCACATCCGGAGCAGCAGTAGTCACAGCGTTGGCAGCAGGTGTCGCCTGCGGGGCGACTGCCACTGTGGTCGGAATAACCACGACTGCGATTGACTTGTTCAACACGGTACTAGAGGGCCGGCTATTCGTTTGTTAGTGATCTGCGCGTGAGAAGATATGCCGAATGGCTCACGGTGCGGATGAATGAGACGATAGCACTATGAGCGAAGTTGACGAAGAGCTCGTAGTAGCGTGGACAAGAGTGGAGGTGGTCGGGAGGGTGGTCGACGAAGAGGAAGAGGAGATAGAAGAAGAAGTCGAGGTAGTAGTTGAGGTGCTGCTGCTGCTTGAGCTAAGAGTCGAGCTGGTCGAAGTGGTGGTGGAAGTCGTGCTCGACGACGACGAAGAGGATGTTACAGTACTGGAGGAGCTCGAGCTCGAGCTCGACGAAGAAGTGGTAGAAGACGAAGCCGTAGTCGTCGTTTGGGTATCGGTAGATGTCGTGGTGGTGGAGGATGCTGGCCCAGTTACACTGTCGCGCATGGCAATTTCCCTGGCAAGGAGCGCATTGTGGAGATGGCGGGGAGACGGGTGACCCATAACGCTCGAGAGTGAAAGAACGAGGAAAAGAACGAGCGTGTAGTATGACCTGAAATCGGCCATGGTGGGCCGCAAACGAGTCGCAACCGCCTGACGACTGGGGGAGGCAAAAGGGAGATGATCTGAGTTGGTAATGTTCCCATCACGTCACATTGATGGTTTCCTTATCTTATCTACCTTTCCCGGCCACTAATCTAAGCGACGGCGTGACTGGGCTCAGTGACAGTGAGACCCTTCCTTACAAGCAGCCCTCGCGATGGCGAGTCGCGATGTGCCCCCACAGCTGCAACTCTCTCTTCCTGCCAACACCACCTCATTCAAACGATCCTTTTCACAGTTTGGCTTTGGGGAGGACCTGGACAGCCCGTCGGAAGCGCTGGACGCCCCCAACAGCTCCTCCACGAATAGTTTCGCAGCCACGAGGAGCTCCACCACGACGCAGAACTCCGATGGGGCACAGAACAGACGAAAGCGGCCCCGAAGCTCCAGCAACGCGAGCGAATCGGAGGACCATTCCAATCATGCCTCATCGTCCAGCCATACATCATCCTCTACCATGAGTTCCCAGCCAGCCTCTCCCAGCCAGCTTCCGGATCCCGTGCCTCGCCGGCATCTTCTTTTAGATGTCAGTCTTGGGCGTGGCTTGGAGAGCAGCGTCGCTCTCGAGCTGGGCATCGCTCCATCTGAGCTCGAGCACCGAGCCACTCCAGAACCGCCGCCTCGTATCCCCACGCCCGAGTTCCCGGACAGCGGGGATGTCGAGATGCCCGATATGCTAATTGATATCTCAGAGGAGAACTATGGGCACGATGATGACAACGAGGACGAGGAAGAAGCGCCCATGTCGTCTGCAGACCGCATTAGGCTGTCTGTGGACCGCTTCAACGCCTTTGATAGACACATCAGCATGTTGCGCTCATCTTCACCCCCAGTATTGCCGCTACCTGCGCCATTGGCTGCGCGACACACGCCTCCCACACTGCCACCTCTTACGTTAGTCGATCTGGAGTTGAGTGCGGAAGAACGAGCGGGCGAGGAACTCATTCCTGGTGTGTTCCCTCTTCTTCACAGGAGGATTTCGGCTCTGACGAATCAAAGCTGGGCCCCTGCGCGTCGCTGCAAGCAGCCCCCCACGGCTGGACCTCAATCTCCCTTTGCCCGGCTCGCTGTCACCGCACGAACCCACGATTCAATTCAGACAGCGGCTCGATTCAGCTCTAGACTCGGCATTGGACGGAATTGGACGGGGTGCGCTTCAATTTGAACCACCCATCTTGTCACCCCCATTGTTTACGTCGGACGATGAAGATTTCGCGTACGAGTTCTCGGAGTCAGGGCCCTTCGCCAGCCGACGACACAGTCCAATCTCTCGTTCGAGACAAGCACCGACGCTGGAATGGTCGACCTCTTCCGCTTCTGTCGACTGGGATGCTACCTTCGAACCTTTGGGCCGACATCAAGATCTTGCTCCCCATACTTCCGAAGCTCGAAGCAATTCCAATAGTGGCAATGCGTACAACACGTTTGTTCTCCCCCCGGTGGCAACACCTTGGCGCATCAGACCACCGAGTGCGACCACAGCCACGAACACAACCAGTGCCAACATATCAAGGTTTCGCACCCATCCATCGTTGCCGTCGTTGCCGCCTTCGCTGTTGTACCCACGTCCGGCTTCTTTGGCCGAACCACTGAGCACGGCGAGCAGCAACACAGCAGAAACGTTCCAGTCTCGGGCATCGGGTTGGGCGTGGGAGGATGTGCTGGAGCGAGCAAGAGCACGCGAACGGGAGCGTGATCGTCAGCGAGAACGTGAACGCGAGAGGGAACGAGAGAGGGAACGAGAGCTCGAAAGAGAGCGTGAACGAGAGCTGGAGAGAGAACAGGAGAGGGAGCGCGAAAGGGAACGGGAACGGCAAAGAAACAGGGAGGAATATATGGATTTTTCTTGGAGTATCGATCGGATTTGGGACCGGGACCGGGACGAGCCTGTGGCTAGCGGTGTTAGGCCTCGATCAGCGGAGACGCTGATCCACCGCATGAGAAGGGATAACGGACACGATGAAATTTCACAAACAGATGCAGGTGCGGAACATATTTACTTGCTGGTCAGAAATACTGATGAGCTTGTATAGCGTCTGAACACGGGTTGGATCCCGAGACTTTGAGTCTGCTCAACCGCAATATTGCATTGTCAAATTCGATGATCGAGGACTATCCATCCACGGGTTGGGCGCCAGGAGATGACTCGCTTACTCGCAGCTGGACGTTGGATGAGTGGATTCGGGATGGAACTGTTCGTGAGGGCAGCTCACGGACTGCTCGAAGAAGAACCGGTGCGGGTCCCCCCAGTGCACAGACGAGCGATTCCTGGCGACATCGTGTCAGCTGGCATTCCGAAGCGATGACTCCTCCACAGCCGACTCACACTCACGCACGTGGTCACCATTCGAGTTCGAGTCTGCATGCGTCACCGTCGTCATCATTGGCGGCCTCGTCTTCGCTCCACCGTCGACTGAGTCGCGTGAGCTCGTCCAATGCCCTTGAGGCAGAACGAGCGGCGGCTATGTCTGCCGCGGCGACGAGGAGAAGGGAAGCTCGGGCGCAGCTCATTGAGCGGCTGGGCCGTGGTGTCAGAGTCCATACCGAGCTGGATAGTAACGAGGAGGAGCGCGAGACTGTTCGACGAAACTCTCCTTTCTACCTTTCCACGGCTGAGTTCGAGCCGAGCTTTGGCGGGTCGGATGGGCCGTGGGCCAGTGCTGGTGTCAGTCCTCCTACTTTCCGCCGCCGGCCAACAGCCACAGCTGGTATGGCCACTCCCAGCGCTAGTACCTTGCGTCGTGAGCCTGCTCGAGGACTGCCTGCCTCGGCAGTTGATCGGCGGCACGTGTTATCTTCCCGTATTGGAGCGACTAGCACCTTCGAAGATCTGACGACACAACTACGCAACCCGTCGCCGCCGCCAAGCAGCTCGAGACCGGTTTGGGGCAACGATGGGCTGCCTTTCTCGACTTTGTTCGGTCGCCCGGCGAGCCAAGAGCTGCCGCCGTCGTTGCCATCGCCCGATTTCGGTGGAGACCTCCGAGGAGGAACTGTAGAACCGGAGGAGGAACATGATCCACCGGCATACTCCGGCCCGTTTCGGCTGACGATGCAACGCCATGACGAGTTTTCGAGGAGAACTACGACCGCCGGTCCGACGCGAGGGACGGCTTCCGGCAGGACTGATGATCGCTCCACGCGGCCTATTCCCGTGCCGCATCGCAGTCGGGTTGAGCCTGGGCCGTCGTCTTCGAGACTCTACACAGCCACGGACATGCACAACATCCTGGCTAGGCAAGCGAGACTGGAGGGGTCGCGGCTGGGCTTGGATGTGGATTCGACGGCGATCGAAGACGAAGATATCAACCCACTTGACTATAGTGCGATCCTGGCAGCCAATGCTCGGCGCATGATCAATCGCCGCCGCAATCGAGACAATCGTGAACGAGATATCCGCGAAGAACGATTGCCACCCCTCGACGATCCGGACGCCCCTCGAAGGCTGTTGAGGGGGCACACTCATGCATTCCATGCCGCGTTGGGTCGATATCGGCGAGGACACAGATTGATGGGCGATTTCATGGTGCGTCTTTTTGTTACAATCGTTTTCACTGTGCGATTCTGACGAGTGACAGCGAGACGAAGACTTCGACGCGTCGTACGAGAGTTTGCTGAACCTCGGGCGGATCATCGGCGATGCGAAACCTCGTGGAACCCCCGACAATGTTTTGGCGGGACTTGATTCAGCGACATATAAGGATTGGGCAACACCAGATAGCGATCCGCGGTGTCCCATCTGCTTGGACGACGTGCGTAAAGACTTGTCTTGTGCTATGTCGGCTGCTGACTGACATTTTGGCTTGCAGTACAAGGCGGAAGACGCCGTCATGAAGCTGGGTGAATGTCGACATTGGCTTCACAAGGAATGTCTGGAGCAATGGCTCAAGAGCGCGAGCACGTGTCCCGTGTGCAGGAAGGATGTCAAAGCGAAGCCCAAGCCCAAGCCTCCACGATTCGACCGGCATCAGCACCATCACCACAGACGGCGGGACGAAGACCAGGACGGAGCCGGCCCCAGTGGCTCGTGGTTCAGCGGCATCTAATAATTGCAAATCATTTCATGTATTTTTCTTGTTTTGAATGCCCACACTACACTCTGTTTATGAAAGAGATGTACCTGCACTGAAAGTAGTCCACGGATCTGCTTGGCGTTGTTATTATTATCTGATGTTGGTTAGAACGATCCATACGGCCTCCTTCACCCCGTTAGCCAGATGGCCCTTGCTAGGCTCGTAGACGTTCACACTCACGTCTATTTACCCCGATATGCCAGCCTTTTGAGAACGCGGTCGGCGGTGCCACGGATTCTTACCTCGACCACGGTAGACGGCAAGCGCGATGACCGGCTACTCATCTTGGAGCACGAGCCTAGCGGCGGTCGTCCAGTCGGTCCGCAGTATTGGGACCGGGAGGAGAAGATCAAGTTCATGGACCAGCATGGGATTGACTTATCTGTTGTGAGGTGAGTGAAGCATCCTCGGAAGCCTCGTCCGGCCGTCATTGCCCTGCGCGCGCGTCATATATTCATCACGCAAAGCTGAGCAGCTTTATCCCAGCACGGCGAATCCATGGCTGGATTTCCTTCCTGCACCCGAGGCAAAACAGATGGCAGACGACCTGAATGCGGATCTAGAGGAGTATTGCTCTGGATCTCCCGAGCTGACTCCGTCGCTCAAACGGCTCTACGGATTCGGTCTTTTGCCGCTCGTGTCGGGCATCTCTACCGAGGCTCTCCTCGAGACGATCGAGCGTATCTCCAAACTTGCGTATCTCAAGGGTATCATCATGGGCACCCGGGGCATCGGAAACGGACTGGACGACGCGGCGTTGGATCCAGTCTGGGGCGCATTAGAAGCCGCCGGGCTGGTTGTCTTCATCCACCCGCACTACGGCGTCGACAACGCGGCATGGGGTCCCAAAGACAACGGACATGTACTTCCCTTGGCTCTTGGCTTCCCATTCGAAACCACGATCGTACGCCCTTTCTCGCAAGTGTGAAACCTCACTCTGACATGCGGCTAGGCAACAACGCGTCTGATTTTGGCGGGCGTATTCGACCGCTATCCTTCGCTTCGCGTGTTGCTCGCCCATTCGGGAGGAGCATTACCTCAGCTCTCCTCCCGCCTTGCGTCGTGCATCGACCACGATCCAGTGGTAGCATCTCGCCTGAAACACGATGCACGATGGTATCTGGGCAAACTGTACTTTGACGCTGTCGCATACGGGCCCGAGGAGCTGGGCTTCGTCAGCGATGCCATTGCCCGCTCTGCCCGGTACGAAACGGGCGTCACCGCGTCAGATTTCACCTTGGACCGCGGACTGGGTAGTCAGAGGATGCTGTTTGGGACGGACCACCCATTCTTCCCTCCGTTGGCATCAACTCAGAAGTGGAAAAGTGTAGTTGAAAATCTCGAGGCCATTGAAGCTGTCTCGGGCTGGACTGCAGCTCAGAGAGAGGGGGTTCGGGGTGCTAACGCGTTGTCTTTGTTCAATTTAGTTTAAATATCGATGATTGTACAAGGGCTTCTAACTATGCTGCTTTCGGTTTCTGGATCTTCAAGCTGAAGTCGATGTGTTGAACGGACTGATGCACCACGCTTGTGCTCAGGATATCGAGTTCTGAAGCACGTTTCAGTAATTTTGTCGGCTTTACAGGGTGTTTAACACACCGTTGAGCGCGCGTTCTTGAAGATTAGCCTCGTTTATATTTCCGCTCGTCTCCAAAAGAAACTTCTTCTTTTCTCCCCATTTCTGTCGCAGACTCCGTGCGACGCTCAACAGTTCCTCGCCCTCGAGATTGTCGAGCATGATGACATCCGCTCCCGCTTCGATGGCTTCGTCAGCTTCAGCTTCAGATTGCACCTCGACATCGAGCAGAAGGCTGAAGCCACCGACATGTCGGGCCTGCTGAATAGCAGCCGTTATGGACCCTGAGACCGACCCTGAGAATCGAACAATTTTCAGTAGCGTGGAAGGGCGCACCGGAGGACCAGATGTGGTTATCTTTGAGCATGATCATACTGGACAGATCGTGCCGATGAGGGTCAATCCCGCCCACCAGCATCCCGTATTTCTCGACCAGTCTGAAGCCTGACCCGAGACTCAGAGCGAGAAACGCGGACACTCTTTCAAAGCTTACCCGGAGTAGTCTTTCTGGTTCCAGCAACGATTCCCTTGAATCCATACCCGCGAGCAAGGTCCTTAATTCGCTTCGATCTAGATGATCTCAATGAGCCATCTCCGAGTCAAGCATGCCAGCCCGGATCTCTACTTCGTGGCAATCCCGCTGCACCGAGCCAACATGTTGAGAGCGACGCGTTCTCCCAGAAGCAGATGACGAGCTTTCCCGGTGACTGTCGCGACGTGCTTCACAGGCTCGAACGTCTCTCCCTCTTCGATATGCCAGACGACCCTGCATACATCTTAATGAGATCGGAAATAGGAGATTGAGGGCTGGAAGCACGCACTGGCATCCCAGTTGCTCAAAGACCTCAGTGAAGAACGGCGATCCTGCTAGCACGGCCGGAACCTTGCCTTTGCCAAAGAGGTGTGCCTCGCGAATGGCCTCGCCGACCACGTAACCTCCATAATCGAAGGAAGGGGTATCTTCGGCCAGCCAAGCCGTTACTTGTGGCTTCCAGCTCGGAGGCAAGAGATGCGCATAAGAATTAGACATAGTGGTCGCGATTACCAATCACAGAACTGATAAAAACACATCTGTACATTCTGGACGATAGATATATAGATAAGATGCGACATCCAAAACAGTACAGATGCTCTCGAAGACCATGTGGACATCGACAAAAGTATCCTAAAAATACGCGACGTCCGGAAAATGGGATCTTGAATTACGAGAAAGGGTCACAGTGCATGTGGGTTTAGAGCTGAGTCAGCAGGGCGCCGATGATGACCGCAAAGCCGAGAACTCCCGAGCGTGCAGCGGCGATGGTGAAGCCGCCACTGGTCGCAGCAGGCGTAGCCGAAGCGCTCGAAAGAGTTGCCGAGTCAGTGGTAGAGGTGACGACGGGTGCTGCGGCAGCCGTAGCAGTGCTGAGCAGGGGGTCAGGGGTGGGGCGCAATGCCGATGATGAACACGCACTTCACAAATGTGGGAGTCGCGCTGGAGGACACAGGGGGCGACACAATTGAGAATTCGGTGGACTGAGCGAGGATGGTGTTGAGTTCTTCGGAGCTCTTGCACAGGTTCACACGGTAGCCGGCACCAGGAGCGGGCCACCCCTCGGACGGAGGAGAGACTTGAGTCTGGTCAGACGAGTATCCTCAGTTGAATACTCAAGAGAATGGCGAGACCGAAGACGTACGTTTCCCAGGGAAGTGACGACGAGGGCCTTGAGAATCTGCGGACCTCCGGGCATCAACGCAGTGTTCTGAACGATGTCAAGTCAACTCATGCATAAGGTGGCCAGGTACAAAAGGTTAACCTGGTTGACGAGAACAGCAGTGAAGTTCTGGGGGTCCGTATCAACCGATGACCAGCGAATCGTTTGCGAGTCGACATTGGTCCAATTGTGGCCGGTACCGGGGAAGCTGCAGCTGATTGCGGAGGCAGCGGTGGCGAAGAGGAGGAGTGAGAGCGACGGGAAGATCATGTTGTTAGGTTGACTTGGAAAGAGTGTGGTGGCAAAGAGCGAAGGACTTCTCGAGGAGGAGATGAGCGCACTGGTAAATTTGTACGTATCACAGTCACGGAGAATGTAACATAGTATGACAGCAGGCAAACATAAGTCAACTCCAGGGCCCAGGCACATTAGGCCACGCGCTTGTGACGGGGGCAACAAAAGGCAAACTATTTGCTATTCTGTGTACTCGACAGAGTGCCCTCAGCATCCAGCCATAAATCGCGCTGGCCCCAGACTCCGACCACAGCACAGATGATCATCCAACAAGAAGGTGCGTTTATGTCGTTTGGCGAGACAGGCGGTGTCTTCGCTTGTGCAAGATGTTGGAGTAGCGAGATTTGTGCTCGGGCCAGGTTTCGAAGCAAATGCATATCATCTGCTGATACGTAGTCGTCAACGATCGACAGCAGAGCGAAGACCCAACGAGCGTGCGTCTGAGTAACGCGAATATTCTTCTCAGGTTGTAGATGCAAGTTGGTCCAATGTGTGAAATACATGATCAGATGCAGCGCCATTCGCTTCAGAGAAACAGTGAGTTCTAGCACCTGCAGTGTGAAGTTTGAGATACCTCGTCAATCGAGTGAAGCAATGCAGGCGTAGGCTCGCGTGGTTCAAGCAATGGAGTAGGAGGGGGGTTTCTGGTAACGCCAGAGATTTCTTGATCGCCGAGAGCAGGTAAATGCGTCTCTGGATCGACTGTCTCATCCGCAAAGGCGCGCATCCCTCGCTGCATAGTTTTCTTCCTTGGCATCTGCCAATCCTCAGGTGGTCTTCCAGACAAGAATGCCCACCAAGCGTCTCGATCTTTCAGTTCGGGCATGGACTTGACGTCGCGTCGGCGGGGCAGCTGGACGTCCAGTGTCGGCTGGTGAATATTCTGTCCAGTCACTGAGAACATCTACAGGAAGAACAGCACGAAAGACGCGTACTTTTCTAAAGTTTCTGAAGCGAGTTTCGAATACTTCACGCCATTCTGTGCTGGGTAGTTCTGGGTTGACTGCAGGCAAGACATCACTCGATGGACGAGGCCGTTCGGGGATTTCATACGGGTTCGGCGCGCGCGTAATATGAGGGAGACTACGTGCATTTCTTCTGAAGCAGTGTCAGAGATTGCAAATGCGCTTGCGACTTCAAGCGCACCGGACGGTGAATAGATACTGCATCCCATCCTCGGGCTCCCCCTCGAAATTCTCAGGCAGATCGACCACGGGAAGAATTTGGCGTCCCAGAGGAGTTTCCTCGTCAGACATTGCGTTGGTATCGACCCAAGTAGCTAGGTGTGCACAAAGATGGTATGGTCGAATATGAATACAGTGACCGAGTCGAAGTTAGCTTCAGACATTTGCCGAGCCGATCATCAAAGTTCATTGAACCGCTCTCAGATCATCCGAGTCGTTGCTCTGTGTCGAACAAAATCTCGCGTTTCTAGAGGATTCTCTTCCCACCTTCCAGCCCATGTCGGTTGTAGACGAAGACATCGACAATGAAACGCTTCAGGCTCAAATAGATCTCTCCATGTCCTTCACCGACAACCTGGTTGCGTCTTGGATAAAACCTTCGGCTAAGCATGGGAAATCCTCCAGTAGCACCTTGGAGTCAGAACTCAAGGAGTACATGCGCCGACCACCGAGGTAATTTGTCGCCGAATTTCGATGCCTCAAGCTCCATACCCTCAGGCTCGGTGTTGGTGCGCCATTACCGGAACTCGCCAACTCCTCTCGAACGGCAGATCGTCTGAAATCTCGTCTCACGGACAAGGGGAAGAAACGTGCACGAGAAGAGGAAGAGGCGGAAGCGCTCAAAGAGGATCTGGAGGATGTCCGAGGCTCGTCCGGCGTGAAGAAGGCGCGAATAGATCCTTTTGCCGGCAATGGCAAGAAGAAAAAGAAAATCACAGCGGTGCCTCAGAAGGACGAAACAAAATCTGCTATGGTTCTTGAAGAAAAACCCTCTGTCGAAGAGAGGAGGGAGGAGATATCGGAACGGGCCGAGACAATAATGACAGCCAAGAAGAAGAAGAAACGGAAGAAGGAGGAGAAAAGCAATACGGAGGAGAACATAGCCCTCGCCGGGGTGCCTGTTTCTAAACTCGTCGTGCCTCTCCCAATCCCAAGTACCACTGTCGCCCCCAACAGATCTCCTGCTGGCACCGACCACAAGACAAGTACGTGACAATCACCACAGAGTGCCTAACTGTTCTTTATCCCATACAGAGGGACCATCAAGTTCTCCGACCATTGAGAGACCGTCCCTGACTGCAGCCACTGCACCGGGCCATCCGTCGATATCCATCACTGGTCCGATATTGAACCTTAATGGCCCCCCTCCTCAAAGCGATGAATCTGATGTAGACAACCGAGATCCTGCCGCCTCCAAAAAGAAACGCCGAAAGCGGAATAAAAAGAAAAAGAAAAGCCTACTGGCTGTTCCACAGGATGACGGTCCAACATCATGATGAACTGCTTCTTGGGCGCTGATTGGAACACGGACAGGACACAACTACAGTCATAAAGAATATTATTCGTCCAACTATACAAATTCGAAAACATTACAAATCGTTTCTAACAGATACATAATTGAGTCAAGTCCAGAAAAGGAATGGGTGGAAAGGCGGACAACACGTGTATCAGATGAAATCTGCTTGACGCGCTCATCGCGTTGTGTGCCTTCTACGAGGTGCCGGCTGCTGTGATGGCCTGCGCCTCGTGGTTGCTGGCTGGGTTAATCTACGGGGCGGCGGTGCCGGTTGCCGAGGGCGGGGAGATCGCGTGTCGGCGCTCCTACCAGATGGCTTCCTCGTCTGTCCAGCAGTGGGTCGAGGCTTGGGTTTGGGGTGGAGAGAACCGAACAGAGCAGAAGGTTCCTTGTCGCGCGATGCCTTGCGTTGAGGAATCTTCTTGCTCTTGTTCTGCTTGAAACTCTTGGCGTCTCTCATCTCCCGCATGCCCTACGTAGTACGCGACGTCAGACACATGGTTACTAGCGGGCCCATACCCACCTTAGATCGGAGGTCCTCGTCGCCCAGCAGCGTGCCTCGCATCTTGGCCAGCCACCCATGCATCGTCGAGGGCGGCGGGCGCCGTCTACTTCCATCGCTACGAAACTAGTAGGTGCCGTCAGAGAGGCGCGGAACAAGTCGAGATCCAGCGTACGTTGGACGCCCATTCAATCTTCATGACGAGTCAAAGCGTTGAAATTAAGAGGGTGAAGAAGAGAAGAGAAAAGTTTGGCTGATGCCAAAAGACTGCAGGAAGAAGTTCTGAGAAAGTGACTGAGTAACTTGCACTCCAATGCTTGATGTGTGTGGGGTCCTTCCGCCTGTCAATCACGACATATCATCACACCGCCACGGCGGTGATCCAAACCAGTGTTGTAGCTAAGGTTAAGGGACCCTTAACTTTAAGGCCTTAACTTGCCTTAACTTCGGTCCTTAGCTTGGGAGAGAAACCATGTTAAGGGTTAGCTAAGACTTCGTAATAGCCATGACACAATATCACGTGAGATGTCAATGCCATCGATTATCGCTGTGCATCTGGCGTCGTTCCTCATTGCCTCGCACACCAAAACCCAGTCCAACTCATTACTCCGCCATGCCTGCCGTTCGAGGGGAGATGTGGGAACATTTCTACGAAGGAGCTTCCCGCAACAAATCACATTCTGATGCATGGTGCCGTTACTGTGTCGATCATCACCGCCCAAATTCCGCAACCCAGCCAACGGAGGTCGATGGAGAGGGAAGAGAGGAGGTGGCTGGTCTTGATCTACTCCACGAATCGTGGTTCAAACAAGGTCGGTTGCTAGTGAGCTTCGATGTCGGTCCCTGTGATTCAAGATTGACATGTGATAGCATGTGAAAAAGTGAAATCAGTGAACGGCGAAAAGAAAGCTATGATCGCACACCTGATCGGCGGCCGGTCTGAGTGTCCGCATGCTCCCGATCACGCTAAAAATGCTGCCCGTAAATTACGTGGGGGGCTCAAAGAATCGACGAAAGCATCGGAAGGAAAGCCCAAGCCTAAGCCAAAACGAGCCATTTTCCAGGCTGTCGAGAAGACATTTACGCAGACTGAGCTCAAGGTTTTCAAGGGTATTGACATGCCATTCACCAAGGAACAGAAGGAAATGATCGCCGTCCAGACTGTTCGCGCCACGATCTCTGCTAATCTGCCGTTCCGTTGGATAGCTGATCCGGAGGTTCTCCGACTGTTGATGATGCTCCGCTCTGCAATTGGGGACGCGCTACCCAGTCCTAATCAAGTCTCTGGAACACTTTTGGACCTGGAAGAGAAGCGGGTGACTGACAATGTCAAGACCATTCTCCGTGGTCAATATGTCACTGTGTCGTGCGTCTCAAAATTCATGCAATTGTTGTCCGAATAACATGTGTATTTCTTCAGGATTGATGGTTGGAGTGATAAGGCATCTGTTCTCGGAGTTGATGTCTCCTTCGACGGCAAGGCATATCTTGTCCGATCAGTCTCAATGAAAGGACGTGGGAAAGATGGTCCTGCGATGTGTCGCACATTCATCGAGATGATTGACTGGGTGGAGCTCGAGTATGCATGCAATGTGGTCGGTTTTTGCTGTGACAATGATGGTGGGAGTCAGAAGGGACGGAAACTGCTTCGAGTTGAGCGTCCGTGGTTGTTCAACCCGCCATGCTGCGCACATCAGGTCTGTGACACATGCCAATCTTTTCGATGAAAGCTGGAATGTTTCCAGGGGCAACTTATTTTGGCGGACTACTTCAAAGAGAATCGAGATGGATCTCAAACCTCCGAAGAAACCGCTGATATGCTCGGCTGGATCCGATCACATGAAAAAGTACGCGACATCTTTGATGAGGTCCAGGTGGAGAAAAAAGGTGGTGAGCCACTGGCGTATCTGGTCGCGAATCTGACGCGCTGGACCACTCACACCATCTCGTTCCATCGCACGCTGTCATTGAAGGAGCCGCTACGCCATGCTGCTATTCTTCGTTGCGCGGACATCTTGCAGGCACAGCTCGGTGCTGAGAAGAACAAGAAGAAAATTGCTGCCGTTGAGAAGGAGGTCAACCGCTTCTGTGAACTCCTCGACGACCCTGGATACTGGAAGCGACTAGAAAGAGTGTCTGAGGACATCGAGCCTGTCTGTTATATCACAAACATCAATCAAGCTGACAACACTCGTGCCGATCAAGTCCTTCTCGGTCTCGCCGGAGTATACCTTCATTTTAGTCGTCATCCTGATCCTATTGTGCGCGCTGGCATGCTCGCTCGGCTTGAGAAACGATGGGAAGCACTGGATCAGCCGATGTTCCTCTTCGCAGTGATTCTGAACCCATATGAGAAGACGGATCGGTTCGGTGGGGAGGCTGCAGTTAGCGTCTTCACACTGGCTAGCATTTTAGTGGAGGTGAGTGATCATCGACACACTTGTTCCGGCTGATCCGAGCTCTAGCTTTACACTCGAGTCAAGCTTCGCAAACTTCCTGACCAGGATCTCTCCGAGGTTGAATCGCGAAAACAAGGTGAAGTCCGCGCTGCATTCATGCACTATATTTCAGGAACCGGACCCTTTGCCGACTTTGAAACAAATCAGGAAGTCTTTTCCCAAACAAATGTATGTTCCATTACTCTTATTGAGTTCTGATTCTTAAACTCCGGCACAGGGAACAGATCCTATCCTTGTGTGGCAAACATTCCGCTCTGTTGCCCAAGTTTCCGAGCTTGCTGAGCTGGCGATGATCCTCCTCGGGCTTTCAGTCAATCAAGGAGGCAATGAACGTGATTTCTCAGATTGGAAAGTCAAACGAACTCGATTGCGCAACCGGCTGTCATTTACGAAAACCACAAAGATGTCGAAGGTGGGTCCGGGTCTATCCAGCGGCTAACTTGAATAGCTGACTGCGGATTTGCGGTCACGGCACGAATCAGACGGTCTTCAAGAAAAACGGCACGCACGAAAGAATCACGATGACGACCGTGTCTCCCAATTGATTGCGGTACCACGATATGCCGACGCGCTTGAAATATCAGACCTCGGCAACGAGGAACGTTCATCCGAGTCCGTGCTGGTAAACTCGGCAAGATCGTGGCGCTGTTCTCAGGCTCGCTGGATTCTCGCGGCGAGAGAATTGGAGGATGATGAGGATGGAATACAGTTGTTAGAACTGACGCAATCTCTCGGAGCTGCAACAAAGCGGTGGTTACCACGCACTCTGAACAATCTTTTCGGGGAACGCGCTAAACGACCATTAAAGCTACAAAGAAAGCATCAATTCACTGACGAGGAGCGGTTGATGGAACTCTTGGCCGCCGAGCACTCTGATGAGGAACCCGACGATGGTGCTTTAGAGGGTTCAGGAGACGAGTACACTGAGTAGATATCAAAGATACACCCGAATCCTGCTTCAATTGAATTGATTTTTTTTTGGAAGTGCCGTAGCTAAGGCCTTAACTTGACCTTAATATTAAGGGCATGCTAAGGCTCAGACTCTTAAATTCCCCAGGCACCCTTATTAAGGGCTTAGCTTCAAACACTGATCCAAACAACGTGGCTCACGCCAAACTAATGGCTGGACGGAACCTTGCATCCTCCGAGCAACATCCAGTGTGACGTACAGGAATGCCCCTTGTTCTCAAAGGAACGAATTCTACGATCTACACTGATCGCACTCTTCTAGTGTTTCGGAGAGAGTTATGTGTTTGGATTGCCTTACTCAACATTCGATCTCTAGTTTGACTCTGGGGGTCGAGTCTTCTGTTCGTTCCGACTGCGAACGGGCTTCGTACAGGCTTCGTACGGGCTTTGTGCCACCGGCCTTCGGCTCAAGGGATCGTGTCTTCTGTGCAGGTCTTCTTTCTCTCAACACCCACCGGTACTCGGCATCTCAATAGCCGGTCTTGCAAATTGGTGGCAGAAAGACAGTCTCAAGGCTCGAGATGCTTGGTCGACAGGAAGATTGCGGTTTCCAAGGTCACACAATTGTCTAAAACATGACGCAAGAGCGTCAGGCACCGCTGGCCATGCCACTTCTCTCGATGGATGATCACCTCAACACAGCCATAGGCGAAAGTGTCAATTCCGTTTGCGGTGCCGGCGGCTACTCGAAAAGTTTGTGTGTCCGCCCTTGTTTTTTCCGCCACATGGGGTCGCAGGAGTCGGGCCTGACACCGCCATAGCTCCTCTCTTACGCGTTTTTCTGCAGTTTCGCAGCTCGGGGGCGCCAGAGACCGACACAGTGTGTATGCAACTGTGTCTCATCCGCGGCGCACTGGGTTGGTACAAGTACTCGCAGGTGCGCCATGTTCCACCCAGAATTCCCAGCACACTCTCACTGCAATGGTTTGGAAAAACGTAGACGCGATCATCCAGGACAAGCTCTACTTGGGAAAGTAAGTTGCCTAATTTGGCACGGCGTCGTTCATCGGACTGATGTTCTCCGACTTGTTCAGCCTTGTAGCAGCTCGATCAACGAGATCACTGGCCGGTACGTTGTGTCCCCGCTGACATCGACTGTCTGCTGATCTCGCTCCAGAACGCCGGGTCTCTCATGTTCTCTCTGTCTGCACGGACCCTATCCCTGCCGAACTGCCGCAATCGGGGGTTCAGCACATGCGCATTCCGGTCGAAGATGTGGACTATGCGGACCTCCTGATATACCTGCCCTCTGCGTGCCAATTCATTGATCAGGCCATTCGCTCCGGTGGTGTCGTTCTAGTCCACGATGTCCAGGTGAGTATTCTATCACACTCGCGTCATGGCCTGTGAATCATACTTGACAGGGCGTCACTCGAAGCGCTGCAGTCGTCGCTGCCTATCTGATGTGGGCATATCAGTACAGCCCCACCAAGGCGCTTGAGTTCGTGCGAAGGGGTGGGTCCAACTCTGTTCTTCAAGTCACCTCGCGCCATCTGACCCTTCTTCCCAGCACGCGACCAGATCTGGGTCAATCCTGGCTTCCAGGAGCAGCTTGTCCTCTTTGAATTGTGCCATTATGCGCCGTCGCCTTCAAATGGGATATATCAGAGCTGGAGATTCAAGCTCGATCGTCATTTGCGCGCCAATGGCCTGCTTCCCTGAAGTCTCCGAAGCCCAAAAAGCTCACTGAGCATAGATGTTTGTTTCTTGTATTCCATATCCGCATTCGCATTTCTTCAATTATGTACTTCCATATCTGTAATTATCTTGCTGCTGAGCAAGTTACACACCCAGCCTGAATTTCGTATGATCAAGGCACCAGTGACCGTGACGTTGCCGTCGTAACACCACTCGCCGAGCGTCAGCCCTCGGGTGGGCATCCGACGAGAAAGCTCGGGGCCATCCACGGACTAGATTAGAGAGTGAGAAATCTCATAGACTACGAGTCTCCTCGAATTCACAATGCTTGAATAGAGGGGAATAAGTAGATAGAACAAATAATACAGGCGAGGATCGTATTAGGTAAACAACCCACAGCGGGCCAAACACTTCACAGCCGTCTCTCTTGGTCTCCGCCTCTACAATCTCTCCTCCTCACTCACACTCTCACCATGGGTCTCTCTGTTTCTCGTCTCCTGTCCGGCCTCTTTGGCAAAAAGGAAATGCGTGCGTGCCCCTTTGTTTGCTTCTCGCCGCAGCGCCTCATTTTTGGCGCTCAGGAATCCTCATGGTATGATTTTTTCGAACTCTCGCTCTAGCAACCGATGCGACTACGACCCTGTCTTCCAGGTCGGTCTCGATGCCGCTGGTAAGACCACCATCCTCTACAAGTTGAAGCTTGGAGAGATCGTCACCACCATCCCCACGATTGGTACGTGTCCACGTTGGCGCACTGCTTTGGCCCTCGCTTAAGCGTCCATCCTTCCAGGCTTCAACGTTGAGACCGTTGAATATAAGAACATCTCTTTCACGGTGTGGGACGTCGGAGGTCAAGACAAGATTCGTCCTCTGTGGAGGCATTGTATGTCTAGTGACCATCTTTGTTTGGAGCATCAGGACTCATCTTGCCGCGCAGATTTCCAGAACACCCAGGGCATCATCTTCGTTGTCGACTCTAACGATCGGGAACGTGTGTCTGAGGCTCGGGAGGAACTGCAGCGGATGCTCAACGAGGACGAGCTGCGCGACGCCCTCCTCCTTGTGTTTGCCAACAAGCAGGACTTGCCCAATGCGATGCAAGCATCTGAAATTACGGACAAGCTGGGTCTCCACGGTCTCAGACAGCGAACCTGGTACATCCAGGTCAGTGCTTGGCGACGTCGCTGCGGTATTGTTCGCTAATCAATCATTTTACAGGCTGCGTGCGCCACCTCCGGTGATGGTCTTTACGAGGGTCTCGAGTGGTTGAGCGCCAACATCAAGCGCCGGGTATAAATGCTATTCGGTACACTTAATAGCGCATGTGGTTACGATCCTTAACGATAAACACACGGCCTTCCTCGCTATTAGCAGTACCCATACTCTTCCTATCGAGCCTTTCCGCGCTTATCCTGGTTTCTGTTTTGCCTCTTTATGTATAAAACCGACCCATGGTCCTATAAAATGCTCGCCTATTAGACAATCTGGATCCCGTTTTGATCACCGCCCTTCTCCAGGAAACAGTCTGCCCACAGCCTCAGCCTCCCTCCGTCTCCGGTCTCCACGCTCCCGTGATGCAGAATCTCGCTGACTGGCACCATATTTGGCAAGTTTGTCCAGCAGTGATGCCAGCCTCTTGTGCTTGACCACTGCGTACGAGGTCTGCCGCATTGCGGGAACAAGATATTCCTGAACGCTGTTGTTCAGTGCAATTGATGTCGTCTGTCGGATGCGTGTCAGAGTGGCCATGCGCGAGAGCTTTTCCTTTACTGACCGATCGGAGCTCGACGAATGCGACACACAGATGACCACGTCCTATCCGGCGGAGCTCCTCTTCCAAGAAGTCGACATCGATGAGGATGTTGGATATGGCATTCTCATTCATCATTGGGACGTTGCGCCCCGTAAGGAAGTCCTGGACGATTAGGCTGATAGATCCCGGATCCGACCATGACTCGGACTTACCATCAGACAGCTGGCGATGTAATCCACGGCGCCTTTGTATGCTTCGTCCTTGTATGCTTCTTTGATGACCAATGCGTCCACGACTGTCGTGAGCCAGTTGACGAGTTCGTACAGATACATGCTCGGTGCATCCTCCCGACCGTTCGGCGTCCAGTCGTATTCCGAAAGGCCGAAAAAGTCGTCCAGCTTCGAGGAGATGAGCCCGGTGATCCGAGCCAGCGCCCGAGAAAGTGTGTTCTCGAATGAAGTGGAAGCATTCAGGGATATCGGCCCGCCCCGCTGCGTGGAACTGATGGATGAATGTATGAACGCCAATCAGAAATGAGACTCGGACGTATAGACTGCGAACCGGAGATTAGTCAGCGAACGCTGTAGTTCGGCGCAGGCTACTTGGAAATGCTCTAGGTTTGTTACAATCTGAGCTATCTGCGTCAGGGTAGCTGTGCTGGCCAGTCTTGTGCCAACAGTCTCGCTGATGTGGTTGATGAGCAGACTGTCAAGAGACTTGGGACGAATCAGAATTGCTGCATGCACCGGAGTATGGTCCGACCTTGCTCAATAGCTCGTCGATATTCCTGTGATGTTGTGACACTCCTTCAACAAAGGCATAGAACTTCTGGATAAATGCGCGAATCTGAGCAGAGAATGAGATTAAATCGCTATGCACTATTTTGCACGGCTCACATCTTGACAGCAAAGATAAAAGGTCTGCGACCAGGGAAGATTACAAGGAAAGGCACTTCTGATCGGGCTCAGCAGCAATTTCTTCGGCCAGACGACAGAACATCACACACCTTTGGACGGCATCTTCCTCTTCCTCGCTGATCCAGACAACTTCCAAGACGGTTTTCGCTTGGTTCTCTGTGTCGATCTGCATCGGTAGATGATCATCTTGTTTCACGATCTTCCATGCGTAAGCATTGGGCCAGGAAAACGAAAGGTCAAAACAGCCCACATCATCGAATCTCTTATTGAACTGAGCTTCCAGAAGTTTGGCATATTTCTCGAACAGCACGATGATGAAAGAGTGCAGAGGAATAGTAGAGTAGCTGGAGGACTGCAGACGATGAGTTCACCAACGAGGGCATTAGTGAAGTATCAGTACCTCGAGAGTCATGACAAATTTGATCAAGCATTCTTTGACCGCCAAGAAAGAGTCAGGATTAGTCTCTGTTCGCAAGGCAGCTTCGATGGCAGATGTTAGTCGAACCACCAGGCCATCCCAAAGCTCTTCTACATCTCGTTCAGAGCGAAATTCGTCCGTTGTTTCGAGAACACGCGTCTCGACGATGAAGAAACCGCATATCTCTTGCGTGAGGCTGTCGAGAGCGCCTAGTGGTAATGGAGTGGGAAGGATGAGGTCGGATTGTGCCTCGAAAGAGATGAGAAGACTGTTTGCAAGCGATAAGTTACACCTACCTTGCGATCAGCTTGGTACGAGCGACGAAGCTCGTCTAGAGAATCCAATGCCGTGTAGATGTGGATGGATTGGAACAGAGGCTTGAAGTCGACTTGGATTTGATCGTTGTTTAGCACGTCGTCTTCAAGCGGTCAGCAGACGAATTATGGCCTTTCATGAAGCTCACAGTCAGTCTTCTCGTAAGTGACCATTTCAACTGCACTGCCCACGCGACTCATGCGCAATAAAGGATCCTTCTCTCGGCGCCCTCTCCATCGACGTTGACGAGTTTCTGTCGCGTCCAGCGCGAGACGGCCAACGTCTCCACTGACGTTCCGAATTTCGAGGAGCCATTGTTTCATTGAGGCAGTGACTGCGTCCTTGATCTGCCCCCGCAGTGATGGCAACGACGACAGCAAGTGCTGGAAGAAGGGTGTCTGGGATAGCGATGTCGGGGGCATACTCTGTATCTCATCCAGAGACTAATTACATCCCTAGTGTTAAAACATCCCGACAATCACAGCAGCAGCAGATCACACACCCTTAACGCGCTCCAGTATTTCCCCTCCCGCACCATCTCCCCGACGCGGTTGACGACATCAAGAACGCGAAGACACGCCTGCAGCGTGTCTATTGCCTCATCTAGGTTCGCGGCTGTCTTCTTGGACTGTAGCAGACCGCGCTTCTTCTCCACCAGACCGCGACCGAGCTGCGCGACACTTGCATCAAGAGAAGAGATAGTCTGTTTCATCTTGTCCGTGTAGTTCTTGACATTGAATAGCGTGGACACAGATGAAATGAAGTCTTGGTAGTTATCCGCACATATCTTTTCGATCTCGGCATCCTTGGACTCTACTAATCCTTGAACACTGCGGAGGAAGGCTTCCTGTTGTCTGTTGGTGTGTATCTGCTTGATGATGGGACCCAGTTGTTCGAGATTCTCGGACGAAGAAGATGGATCCAGAAGATGGATTTGCTGTAATTGAGTGTCGATGCTTTCCGGCGTGAACTGGTTGACTCGTCTCCTCGGCGGCATAATGCAATGGCCGGGACAGATCTCAATTGATGGTGTGGCAGTGTAACTGCTGTCTTGATGTTGGATGATCACGAGCTTCGGACCTTTCGCCCGACGCGTTAAGGATGACCACCCCTGGCCAGTGCTTGATCTCAACACGAACGTTCTTCCTCTCCCGTTCAATATGCCCTCTATCAATTTCCACGTCGATGCCGCGTAAGACTTGAGGTATCTTTGATAGACCGACAAGTTGAATCGATTGGCCAGCCTCTTCGACATGGATGGAACGCTAGTCGATTCTACTGCTGGCGTTGAAGGCGCTTGGGCTCTCTTTAAGGTCGCTTATCCGACCCTAGACTTGCACGATATCTTGAGCTGTGTGTCGGACTCGATCCTTCTCAGTCTGATCGTTTACCGTCCTACATAGCTGCTCACGGTGTGCGGACAATCGAGAACATACGGAAACACTGTGGGATCACAGATCCAGACGAGCTGGCTGTCCGTTCTCCTTCGCCATCGCACTTCTTGGAACCTTACACCGTTTTTATAGCGCGAAGCTGAGCGCTTCGAGACCGCCATCGTAACATCCTCCACTGAAAACGGCCGATCTGGAATTGTTGTACTCCCCGGCGTCATGGCCGCCATGGACACGGTACAGCCTTAGCAGCAATAGTTTTGGTTTCTCGAAGCTCATTCAACCGCTAGATCGCGTCGAAGCGCTCTCTGCCGAACCCCGTCTGGGCCATCTGCACATCTGCAACAAGAGCGTACGCGAATACGGCACTTCGACTTACCGGAGTTCCTGTTCCAGATGTTTTTGTCACCTCGGAGGATGTCACCCAAGGCAAACCCAAGTGAGTGTCAAACTCCTTGATCTTTGGCGTGATCTTACTTTTTCAGGCCCGATCCGTACCTTCTCGGCGCAAAGCTGGTCGGTGTAAAGCCGGAAAACTGTAAGCTCAGATCATGTTACCTTCAACTTTATCTGTAGAACGTTTATCAGGTGTTGTGTTCGAAGATGCGCCCAACGGTGTTCGCAGTGGGCAGGCTGCGGGCTGTAAGACTATAGGATTCCTCACGTCACACACTTTGGAGCAGATGCAAGCAGTCAAACCGGATTTCCTGGTGAAAGACATGTCGAAGATCAAATTCAAGCTATCAGAGGGCGGTGGCCTCGACGTCACTGTAGAAATAGAAGATCTCTAGTCGTTATCTAATCCACACGTAGATCGTAGAAAGAATCGGTCCATGCTTGATGATAAAGATGTCGAATTGGTATCCACACTCTCCACCTTAGAGAGCTCTTATTGATAATTACTGGAAAGAACGAAGGTGACTGGGCTTGGACGTACAGCCACATCGTGCGAGCATGTCAACCGTGCGGCCCGACTGCAGGTACTTATTCATCAATTGACCCGTCGCTTTGCGCGCCCAACCTTCAATACCCAAGATGAGAATGCCAGATATCTCAATCGTCTCGATAACGCTTCCGCTTCTTCTCGCCGGGCATGGTTTCCGCAAGAAGTCGCTCTCCACGAGCGGTGCATTGACCGCCCTCGTCGTCGGCTTCCTGATGTTCGTCGGGAGCCTCAAGACTTGGGGCATTTCTCTCATCTTGTTTTACCTCATCGGGAGCCGAGCGACGAAATGTACGTGCATACGCGCCTCGGACGCTATAGCGTGTTCCCTCATCAGACGCGCACGCAGACGGGAAGCAGAAGAAACGGACTCTGGAGGCGGGCTACCATGACGCAGGCTACCGATCCGGCTGGCAGGTCCTCAGCAACTCATTCAGCGCCCTCGTCGCGTGTTCTGCCTGGAACATTCTGTTTGACCCACAAGGCGTGCATGCCAGTATCTTCCGTTTACTCACAGGCGACGCTGTGAGGATCCCATCCAGTATTGTGCACCCGTATTCGAGTGAATGGTGTCCGGTGTCTGAAAATATCGGCCAAGGATGGAGTCGGACCCTTGTTTTTGCCGCACTTGGGTGCGCACCTTCCACGCACAATGGGCCAACTGCCTTGAACTTGTTCCAGTCACTTCGCATGCTGTCTCGGGGACACGCTTGCGTCTGAAATCGGGATACTGGCCCCTTCACCACCGCGACTAATCACGACTTGGAAGCCTGTTCCGCCCGGTACGAATGGCGGAATGTCGGTGAATGGGACGATCGCGTCTCTCGTGGGAGGAGTGATCATGGGATTGGTGGCTAGTATCTGCCTGGTCCTGGAGAATCCGACATGCAGGCAGACATGGGATGTCGTTGTCGGTGACGCTGTGTTTTGGGGTGCGATCGCTGGCGCGTATGGTAGCGCCATCGATTCGTTCCTTGGCGCGACGATTCAAGCGACGAGGTACGATGACGAGCGTAAGGTTGTGACTGAGGATGCCGCTCAGGGGAAGACTATCAACGGATGGAATGTCTTGTCCAATAACCAGGTGAATGTCGTCTCATCACTCTGCTGCGCTGCCTTTCTCGGTCTGTACGCATAGACAGTATTGAAAGCATCCACATATTTCGATGTTTCGCATTCATTATGAACAGGAGTAAGTAAGGATAAAGATCTGCGAGCAAATACCAAGGAGGAGAGCTAGATGATGGATGTACAGACGCGGGGTATTTTGGGAGGGAAACAATCCAAGGCGGCACCTGCGTGTATCTCACATCATCACGTCTAGTACTCACCCTCCTCTTCGCCATCAGCACTGTCGGTGCCAACCTCCTCGTAATCCTTCTCCAAGGCAGCCAGATCTTCACGTGCCTCTGAGAACTCACCTTCCTCCATACCCTCGCCGACGTACCAGTGCACGAACGCACGCTTCGAGTACATGAGATCGAATTTGTAGTCTGGTCGACGGCGTCAAACGGCTGCAAACGTAGTATAAATGAACACGCACCAAGTCGACCCCAGGCAGCAGAGATGGCAGTGGTGCTGCACATAAACCCATTAGATGGTCCCAGAACATTCATTCACAAGAACTCACTTGGCAAGCATGCAAAGACTCCGAGTGGTCTTCGCGAGGTCACCTCCCGGCACACAAGCAGGGGGTTCGTTGCAAACACCCATCTGTGAAAATGTTACTTGGAAGGTCATGTGTGTGTTGACCAAAGACATGCCTTGAATCCTGTAGGGCACCAGTCGACGAACTGGATTGTACGCTTCGTCTTGATGCTGGCAACCGCAGCTTGGGTGTCCTTGGGCACAACATCCCCACGGTACAACAAGCAGCAGGCCATATATTTGCCCTCCTTAGGGTCGCATTTCACCTAAAATGACATGTTAGATCCAGTTGTACCAGTTATCTAAGCTAGGAAACTGACCATCTGATTGCCGTGCTCGAAGCAAGCAAAAGTCATCTCAGCAACAGAGTTTTGCTCGTGACCAGCCTTCTCGGCAGACAGAAGGGGAGCATAGGTAGCCAGGGGGAAGTGAATACGGGGGAAGCTACACAAGGGGTGAGTCTCAGATTATCAATGACGTCATCAAACAACACACGGCACAAGGTTAGTCTGGAACTCATTGAGATCGACGTTCAGGGACCCGTCGAACCGCAAGGAAGCCGTAATGGACGAGACAACTTGAGCAATCAACCGGTTTAGGTTGGAGAAGCTCGGGGAAACGACACCGAGGTTCTTCTTGCAGATGTCGTAGATAGCCTCGTTGTCGACCTATTCCGATCAGCCGGAGAGAATGGAAAAGCAAAACGCGCAGGCGCACCATGAAAGAGCAGTCAGAGTGCTCGAGCGTGGTGTGAGTGGTGAGCACCGAGTTGTACGGCTCGACGACCGAGCTGGACAGCTGAGGCGCGGGGTACACACAGAACTCAAGCTTGGACTTCTTTCCGTAGTCGGTCGACAAGCGCTCGAGGAGGAGAGCACCGAAGCCTGAGCCGGTTCCACCACCGAACGAGTGGAAGACGAAGAAGCCCTGGAGTCCGGAGCAGTTGTCGGCAAGGCGGCGGACCTTGTCCATGACAGGGTCGATGAGCTCCTTGCCAACAGTGTAGTGACCACGCGCGTCTGAGATAGGGCACCACTAAGACAGTATGCGACACAAGGCTGACTAATGTGCTCACAGTTGTTGGCGGCATCCTCCTTGCCTGTAATCATCGTCTCAGGGTGGAAAAGGGAGCGGTAGGGACCCGTCTTGACGTCGTCGATGACACCAGGTTCGAGATCGACGTAGAGGGAACGGGGGACGTGCTTGCCCGATCCAGTTTCGGAGAAGAAGGTCGAGAATCCACTGTCGGAAGCAGAGGGAGAGCCCTCCATGATACGACCATCAGGCTGGCGAAAAATCGAAAGTTAAATGCATAATGAAGGAAGCAAACGACAGGGCACGTACGCTCAAGCCGTGCTCGAGAGTATAAAGCTCCCCTTTGGTGGGTCTGTCAGCACGCGATGGAGACGCGATTGAGGATGGAAGGAACGTACAGCAGGCGTTACCGATCTGGACACCGGCCTGGCCGACGTGGATAGAGATGACTTCACGCATAGTGTGACGACCGCGGCGGAGTTGGAAGAGAGAGACGAGCTAGGGTCCCGATGCGTCAACACAAATTTGTCGCGCCACCCCCCTTCTCGGCTCCGAGGCCGGCCGACTCAGACCGGATTGTTCCGCTTCCCATAAGTCAACTAACTTGTCCTTTGCGTCGACCTTCGAGACTTGAATACTGGCGTGTTGCCGATGAAGTACCTCTTTGTCTGCAAAATCAACAGCATGCATCGTCAGGTATATCCTCCAAAGTCGGTGGCTTCTCATTTGCTCGCCTCCCTACATTCTGAAGGCAGCTTTATCGTTAGCTCTTGTTCTTCTATATCTGCCTGCTGGCTGCCTTCGGGTGCTTGTCGCCGTACATGATTCATTCATCCGCTTCTTCTCGCTGAAACTGTCATATGGACGCACGGATCGTCCCCACTTGTTCTTCTCTACCTGCCTGCTGACTGCCTTCGGTCTCTTGTGGTCGTGCATGATTCATTCATCCGCTTCTTCTCGCTGAAACCGTCATATGGACGCACGGTAATCCTCTCTGTGGTCTTGTTTGACCAGGGCGGACTCGATGTATCAACCCATGCCGACGCCAACTTTCTTATCCTTATTTTGTCCTGCGGCATCTATCCGAGGCGCTGATGGCTTACAGCACGGACTATTGCATACCCTAATTGATGCACTCCTCCAGCCTTGCAGCCTTGTTCTGGCTTCTGCCGATTTTGCATCGCTTCTCCTGCCGGTATTTTACTCAAGGCACCGATTTCATACAAGCGTCCGATGTTCTTCTGTTCACCGGACGCTCTAGAACGGCAATGTTCTTGAAGATGAGGCCTTTTTCAGGGTCGCTTGCCGTCGGTCTGCAGCATGTCTGGTGTCGTGAGTTGCCTCTCCTCCTGGTCACTTCTCGCCGCCTTCTTGACAGTGCGGTTATCGGCCTCTATCGGCCGACGTGCTTCCCCTGTTTCCCAAGGCCACGCGCTCTACCGGGCCACGCATGCAAGCAACTCGGCATCAGTCGTGTAGATAATCTAGTTTCCACTCAATCCAATCCAATCGCTGCTGAAGTCTCTGGCACGGCCGGCGATGACGTCTATTCCTTTCCGAGCCCTTCGAGTGACCTGCCGCCAGCGACACAGGCGACGCATTCATCAATAAAAATCACCGCGCGGGATTAGAATCCTGCAGCCACACGAAAACATCTCTTCATTTGCTTTGACAACACGTGAGTTCTAGCGCTTTATCTTTGTTCCATAGTCTGTCCCTTATAAGGCGGGACATTCCTTCGAGTCCCTCATTCCATACTCTCTCTCTTTGCTACAATGGTCCTCAAGCTCTACGGTTACACACACTCCAGCTGCACCCGTTCCGTGGCTACCGTCTGCAAGGAGATCGGCGTCCCCTTCGAGTTCATCCTCATCGACATTGCTGCCGGTGAGCAGAAGACGCCCGAACACCTAGCCCGCCAGCCTTTCGGTGTAGTGCCAGCAATCGAGGTTCGTCCCAGATCATGTTCTCGGCATTGCCCTGATATCCTAGCAGGATGATGGCTTCAGTCTCTTCGAAAGCCGTCCGATCGCGCGGTACATCGTGGCAAAGTACGGGAACGGAAGCACACTCGTTCCCGATCCGAAAGACATCCAAGCGACTGCCAAATTTGAGCAGGCCATGAGCATCGAGAGCAACCACTTCGACAGCGTTGCACTACCCATCATAATCGAGAAAGTGTTCAACCCGTGAGTGTCGGTCTCGTTATGATCGATCGATCGATCTCAACTTCTCAAGGATGAGGGGATTGGCAACGGACGAGACCAAGCTTGCGGCGTTGGTCGCCACAATCAACGCGAAAATGGATGTTTATGAAAAGATGCTGGCAAAGCAGACCTATCTCGCCGGAAACGTAGGTCATCGAGAACACGGTCGATTCATCCTTATCCACCTCACAGACGCTGACAATTGCCGATATCTTCCATTGCCCATGGCTCGAGGGACTGAAGACGGTGAGTTTCTGTATGAAATTAGTGCCGGTTCTTTCTAATCTCTGTCATCCTCTAGGCTGTTGGACCTGAGTTGTTTACCAGCCGTCCAAATGTCAACCGTTGGGTCGAGGATATCACATCCCGTCCCAGCTGGCAGTCGGTGAAGAACGGAGTTTAAGCACCATCAAATGCTCATTGTATTCACGAATCACTACCCGAGCATCATTATTAAAAGCCACTTTGAATCTGGGAAGCGGACCGTCTGGTTATGCCTTAAAAGTCGAGAGGCAGGCTCTACGATTTACCAACCCCATCAGGTCACTGATGGGTCAGTGATGGCGTTGTGTCATTTGATTGTCGCGTTCATCAAATCGCGAACTGGTTCGAGATTCGACAAGCATCTGTTGAAGTTGTCCGGACAGGTCTTAGTACATAGCCCATTTTCCTGAAGAGATTGCACTTGAGCCGGGCCAGAATCAAAGTGTTCGTCAGTTCTCTTTTGATTCAAGTGTTACAGCCCGCTTTTTATGGATATTTCGGCTGGTCGGCTCCAGAAGATATATATTTTCGTCAAAGTCGCTTGCGTAGATCCCGAACAAACGATCAGTGGGTGGCGTAAGCACCTGCCAAGAACTTGAACCGTAACTTGTGAAGAGTATGGATGCCACGCACACCCCGCCAGCACATGCGACATTCCTGCGCAATGAAGCGGAGGTGGTCGCAATGAGACGGACTGCAGTTTAGCTGTCACACCGGGACCGGCGCTCTGCGGTAATTTGTTCATCATGCGTCTTTGATGAAACCATCATCTCACATCTGATCGGTAAATCACAGTCTAGACCACGTGCGATGTGGGAGAACCACTGTCGAATTTTGACAATCAGGTTGACGATCGTATGTCCGTGTCAAGTGCTCCCCTTCCTCCTGCGTCCTAACATCCACGCTTTCGCCGGTGACCCTTTTGAACCTCCATCCCATCCACCGTGCGTAGTGAATCCTAGTTACAGCCAACGTTCTCCCTCACTCACTCTCTCTCTATTTCTCCAGCCTCAGCCATTCTACGTACCCTCTTTTCTCAGTCTCGCGCGTACCCCATTCGCATATCGTCCGCTCGTTCGATCTCGCTATCCACCACACATCGCGTTCCCCCACCTCACTCCCGACACGCGCGCACGAGACCTCCTGAGTTGCTCGTAGGCTGTGTGGGGACGTATACGAACAAGCGCAAACATGACGACCCGGACGCAGACCTCGAGCCCGTTCGCCAGGCTCTCCTTGATGAGGAAAGGTTCCCAGTCGGCCCGCGCTCGGGAAGCTTATCGTGCCCCCGCGGTAGACGACAATTACATCCCTTACAATGGTCCGGTAGAAGCACCACCACCAAGGCGGCAGGAGCGGGGCAGGGACAGCTGGGGCGATCCGGTGTACGAGGATGATGGAGACCACCTGATTCAAGAGCTGCACCAGCGTTACGCGACGGACTTGTCGAGGGACCCCTGGCATGGGGAGGTGGAAGAGCGCATAGGCCGACCCCGTGCCCGTACCCATTCAGGTTTCTCCGGCCGCACAGTGTCCTCGGGTACAGTGGACCCTCACATTCCCAATATCGGTGCCTTTCGAAAGTCGTCCGTAACCGCTGACGGCAGGCCACCCGTTCCTTCATATATCAACCTCGACAAAAGCGGGGGGGTTGGCGAGTCCCCTGTCCCATTTACTCGAACCTCGCGCGATGTACCCCCTCAGAAGCGGTCCAGTTTGGCGACCATATTCACTTTCGGGCAGTCGAGTAAGAAAAATCCCTTGTCGCCAACCAAGGTTCCGCTGCCGGTGAGCCCTGCAGCGAAAACCGACCCGGCAAGCTTCTCGAGCATGTACAACCCTCCTCAAGCTCAGATGCCAACTGGATCCGGACCGCCTTCAATCTACAGTGTATCCTCCCAACGGCGCAGCAATCTCGATTCTCACGACGTGGACGCGTATCACTCTTATTACAATTACACGCCCGCCGCTGACCAATTTGGGACGTTGGACGCTCCGAGGAACGCCCTTACGTCTCCGCATCCGTACTCATATAACCTCATCCACGAGCCACCTCCCACCGCCCCCCTCATCATCTCCCCGAAACTCAAATTTGACGTTATTCAAGACGAGTCGCTCGACCCTCGCGTACGCATGCTGAAGAACTCGACGTCGACGCCGAACCTTCGGTCTGGTTCGCGCTCTCCCAATCGGCTACGCAAACCAGGCCCGCCGTCGAAGCTGAAGGATCGTTGGCTGAGTCCCGAGACCTGGTGCGACGCGGTTATGTTTCCGCGTCCGAGGCTCAAGATCGAAGGCCTCAACGGGAGGGTGGTCAGCCCACCGGGATCACCAGTATCTGGTGGATTTGACGCCCACGAAAATCACTATAAACCTCCGGGTATCGCTTCTCGAGTGCTAGCACACTCTCGCAGCATTGCCAGCCTTCGTAGTTCCGAAGCTGGACCGAGTACTCGGAGGAACGAACCCCCAGTGTTGCCACCTATCGTAGTCTCTCCGACTCGTCTTGAGCGCCCGCCTCGGCCGAAGAGCTTCGCACTGGATGACCTCGCGTTGCCGAGTCCGGTGCCTTCGCTGGCACGGTATGTTTTTTTTCTCGGCGATGACTCGGCGGTGACACAGTTGCAGCGTGCTTGAGGAGGGCCAGATTCTTGAGCATCAGCGCAAGAAATGGCAAACACAAGCGACGGGCTCGTTTCAAAACACGCGAAGCCGCAGCCTATCTCGATCTCGCGCAAAATCGCTCACGCATCGGGGCGAGAGCGGGCCACAAGGCAACATGGCTTTCCTAGCGGCTCGTTCGTTGGTCGGGAATCAGCAGCTCGTTCCGGTGTTGCCTAAGCGAACACATGTTCGCACCGGCAGCCAAACTGGGACTTCGACGGGGGCCAACACGTTCAACTCCCGATCATCGCATTCGCACTCGAATTCGTTGGTGAAGACGGTGAGCAAATCGTTGCACGGACACACTCGCCAAGAGAGCTGGGGCAAATCTGCGCTCAAGAAGGCAGCGGGTATCTGTTACCCTGATCTGTCTCCGGCGGAGGAGGAAAACGGGCTGGAATCAGCGCTCCGGGGTGGGGGAACCAAAGTGATCAGATTAGCTGATCCTGCCATGCTGCCTGTTGACCGGGTGTCTCATCGTAACGGGCCATCGCCTGTCCCGTCGACTGTCAGCGATACTCGCATGGGAATCGCATTGTCGACACCGCCACCGAACGACTCCAGCTCGTTCGAGTCGCTGCACCTGCCGAGCCATCCTTACGCACAGGGCGCGGTGTCGTACTCGTCCTATCAGCCGTCGTCCACCTCCAAGGGCGCGGACTACGCCGGGCCTCATCCAGCTGTGGCCATCCCGCACGCAGATCCGCAAGATCTGTCAGCCCGACACCGACTCCCGCCACAGGCGTATGTTGGTGGGAGCACGCATCCCTATGCCTCACAAAGGGACTCGTTTCCGGTTGTGTCGCAGCCTCGGACCGACAGCAATGTGCCGGCTCAATCGAAAATGTGGGCGCAGCTTTCGCCAGGGATCGTGCGCGAGATTCTGCCGGGCGATCTGATGTATTCTCCCTACACGTCAGAACGTGATTCGACCTCGTCCAGTCCCTCGCCTGCGAACCGGAAATCGACGCTTACTATCTTGGACACGATTGGGCTCGGCGAGACGCTAGTCAACGCAATGGAGCAAAACAGAGACAGCGGATTGGGCACGAGCGAGGGGCATGAGGGGGGTAAGACTGTCGGTGAGTGGATCGACGAGGAGGAGCAAGCTTCTGCCATGGAAGGACACCCGTACCGGGTCCGACGAAAGGCGTCGCAGCACGACGAGGCTCTGCCCGAGACACCACACACCAACAAGTCGTCGCCCGTCGATCCCTCGATGAGCCATGCTCGACTCATCCCGGACAGCCCTCCACCTTTGCCTCGCTCTTCTCCGGCGATGAACTCCGAGGAGTCCTCACCACCTCGCTCGCCCCCTCTCGTTGCCAATGGCGACGACGATAACCTAGACGAGTTCCGGGACCTGTTCTATCGGCCCAACATGACGGACGAGATCCTCACCCACCTCAGCCGGCCGACTTCGACACGTCAGAACAGCGTCACCTGGGACATTGGCTCGACGACGCGGACACGGACCGGCAGCGGCCTGACGAGTCTCGCGCGACAGTTCAGCCACGAGTTTGAGGAGATGCGTGCGATGCGGATGTCCATGGCCGGCAGTGCCGATTCGCAGTCCAGCATCAGCCGTTTCTCGCGCTTCCCGACAGATCAGGACATCCATTTCATCTTCACTGATGAGATGGAGCAGAGCATCATCGATCCTGTGCGTCCCGAGGAGGAAACGATGTCCGCATTTCACCCATCGATCCACAAGCTGCCTGATGATGTCGAGTCCTACAGGACGTCGTCGCCAGTGGATGGTACGTGCTTGATTTGATCGGAGGCACCGTTTCAGTACTCATTTATCGCAGAGACTCTCCGTCTCGGGAGTGTTGGGTCAGGGCTGACACCCAGGATCGAGTCGAGCGGGGACCACCGTCAGTCGCTCACGGGTGAACTTTCGCCCGGGCCTGCTGCCGCTCCGAAGAGCGCACCGATCCCCGTTCCACGAAACTCGCTACAACCCAACTCGGTCGACCCGACCCGGAGCAGTTACATGACCGAGTCCTCCATCTCGAGGATCTCAAACCTGTCCGATTTCCCGTCGCCGCCGTCACCCACCGCAGCCGCCGCCGCCGGCGGGGGACACGGTCACATGACGACGCCCGCGCACATGTCTCTGCTCAGCTCGTATTTCCACGACTTCCACGAAGCCGTCGCCGAGCACGCCGCCTCGGAGGAATCACCCGCCGCGCCACCCTTCACCCCGCGTCTCGGACAGCGGTTCTGAGCCTGTCATTATTATAAATGTTATTCTTATTTGTTTGATATGTTTTCAAAGCTTTCTTCACCCGTAGGGCTGCTAGTTTACTACCGTTTTGTAACACCACATAATCACCGGAGATGGTAAAAGCAGATGCCGATGACGTCCACATCGTGTGGAATCAGCGAAATACGCGTGGGACAGAGAATGAACGGGCTGCAGGGTAAAAGCTTTTGTTGCTTCAGTTTTGTCCAGTATTGTCGAAGCAGTCCTTTCACCTCGATGAACTGCACGATTTTGACTGGCCACATCTCACTTGCACGGAAATGAAATTAGGGTAGAAGGGGAAGCCAGTGACGGCAACATTATTCAAATTCAACGAAATACACTACGGATTTTCATGGGAGAATGAATGGATTCCAAGTGCAGCAAGGTATAACGGTGTAATGCGGGATGATATCATGAAAAGACGTGCAGAGGGGAGACAGGGGAAAGAGAATCAATCGAGCATTGAGGAATCAACAAGGGATAGATCAATACTCAGCGCCCTCCTCCATGTCAGCGGTATCGATGCCGACCTCCTCGTAGTCCTTCTCGAGCGCAGCCAGATCCTCGCGCGCCTCGGAGAACTCGCCTTCCTCCATACCCTCACCGACGTACCAGTGCACAAACGCACGCTTCGAGTACAGAAGGTCGAACTTGTGGTCCAAGCGGCTCCACGCCGACGAGATCGCCGTCGTGTTCGACAGCATGCACACGCTGCGGGTCACCTTGGCGAGGTCTCCACCCGGGACGCAGGCAGGCGGCTCGTTGCAGATACCGAGCTTGAAGCCAGTCGGGCACCAGTCAACGAACTGGATCGTTCGCTTCGTCTTGATCACAGCAACCGCAGCGCTGGCATCCTTGGGCACAACATCACCACGAAAAAGCAGAGCGCAAGCCACTAGATAAGAATAAGCCACACAACAGAAAATTATCGATAAAGGCACACGCACTGTATTTGCCCTCACGGGGATCACACTTGACCATCTGGTTGCCCGGCTCGAAGCACGAGAAGGTCATCTCCGGAACAGAGTTCTGCTCGTGGTTGGCCTTCTCAGCAGAGATGATGGGAGCCAGAGTAGCCAACGGGAAATGGATACGAGGGAAACTGCCGAACAAAGTCAGAAGCAAGGAAGACATCAACTGTTGAGCCTAACTGACGGAACCAAGTTAGTCTGGAACTCGTTCAAATCGACGTTGAGGGAGCCATCGAAACGAAGCGAGGCGGTGACCGATGAGACCACCTGGGCGATGAGACGGTTCAGGTTAACGAAGCTGGGCGAGACGACGCCTAGGTTCTTCTTGCAGATATCGTAGATAGCCTCGTTGTCGACCTAGTCCGATCAGCCGGAGAGAATGGAAAAGCAAAACGGACAGACGTACCATGAAAGAGCAGTCGGAGTGCTCGAGCGTGGTGTGAGTGGTGAGCACCGAGTTGTACGGCTCGACGACCGAGCTGGACAGCTGAGGCGCGGGATACACACAGAACTCAAGCTTGGCCTTCTTTCCATAGTCGGTCGAGAGGCGCTCGAGAAGGAGAGCACCGAAACCTGAGCCGGTTCCACCACCGAACGAGTGGAAGACGAAGAAGCCCTGGAGACCAGAGCAGTTGTCCGAAAGACGACGAATCTTGTCCATGACGGGGTCGATGAGCTCCTTACCCACGGTGTAGTGTCCACGCGCGTCTGTTCGAGTCCATCAGTAAACATTCACCGCAAGCAAAGCGAAAAACAGGCACGACGACATACAGTTGTTCGCGGCGTCCTCCTTGCCCGTGACCATCGTCTCGGGGTGGAAGAGAGACCGGTAGGGCCCGGTCTTGACGTCGTCGATGACACCCGGCTCGAGATCGACGTAGAGCGAGCGAGGAACGTGCTTGCCCGACCCCGTCTCAGAGAAAAAGGTGGAGAAGCCGTGGTCGCCAGACGCAGGCGAGCCTTCTACGATACGGCCATCGGGCTGTGGGAGTGCAAGAAAACGCGTGTCAGCAGCGAGGCGAGGCGCCTGGTGATGCCCACGCACCGACAATCCGTGCTCGAGAGTGTAGAGCTCCCCTTGAACGTTAGTCAGTACCGTGCTGAAAAGAACGCGTCATGGGAGGAACACGCTCTTATCGAACGCATACAGGCAACGCGACACGTCGAAAAGACTCACAGCAGGCATTTCCGATCTGCACACCGGCCTGTCCAACATGGATCGAGATGACTTCACGCATTCTGAAGAAAAAGAGCTAGGATTGGAAATGGATTAGAGGAGCGATCGAGTGCAACCAGTTCCAAGTGGCATACCTGAAGAAAGGTAGAGGGTCAAAGAAGAGTGCTGACGGGGATGGTCAGACCACGCCTGAATTTTTATTATGGCGTGTTTGTGCTCTTTATGCAGTTAAGCGGGACGGCTGACACGATTCACATAATGCATTTTCGCTGCAGGCTCACTAATGTCTGATACCAGTATTCATCATACTGCTACTGGTCATTAAAACTGGAATGCCCTCGAGTCCAGTAAATCTAGAGATGTGGATAAATATCTAAGATCTTCACGATTTGATGGCCTTCTTGATTGCATTTTTCCCGTTGGCCGCTTTCTCAGTGCTCTTGCGCATGAAGTAGCTGGCGAGAGTTATGTCACTGAAACAAAAGAGCCAGATGCTAGTCCACTCACCCAACAAGTACATCCCATATGCGCAGACCGTGCATAGAGTCTGGGACGAGACTGTTTCGGACTTGTGCTTCAGACACAGATTGTTTAGGCGGCTTGTTGGGGTCGTCGTTAGGGTCCAACGAAGCCTTGACAGCGTCCGATAACTTGAGCTTCGGAATGACACGGTGGGTAGCGGGAGCCGTGTGATAAATATGTTTCTTCAATAATGCAATGGCCTCTGGCTGGTTGGAAATCAGTCGCTGGCTTCAAGGTCATGAGGCCCATCCAACGCACAGTGTCTCTGCGCTTGGCAATAGCTGTCGGAGGAGGATTTTCGTCGTCCAAATCCAATGGGCCCCATCGTCGATCGATCTGTATTACTCCGTCCGTTCGATGATCGGAAGTAGACGACGAGGTCGTCGTCGTTTGTCCCGAGTCGTCCGAGACGATCTTGAGCCCCTGCTCTCGAGCGTTTGAAATCATTTTTTCCGCCTTTTCTCGGTAACGCTGCCGTTGCCGAATGGCCCGTTCAGCTTGCCGCTTGTAAGTCCTGTCCCATTCTTCTTGTCCGTGCAGCCATCTCAGACAGGGCTCCTCCTTGATGATCCCAATCTCTGCCGGCTTAAGCTTCAAAACCGACATATCATCCATCGATTCCATTGGCCGTGGTTTGCCATGGACATCCACGCGTTCGCGAAGCATCTGAGGACATGATAAGACAAGAGCAGTGTTCCAGATGATCTACCCGGACATGAACTTGGCGGCTCTCTTCAGCTTGTTTTTCCGACTGGTCGTCGGTGACCGCAGTTTCGAACGTATCATGCGAATTTTGTCGGTTCAGATCAGGAAACGGCTGTTCCGCAAGCTGTTCAGAGCTGTGGTCCACGACGTGCTTTACGAATGCTGAAATGGAGCGATACGCGTGTTTGGCCTGCTGAAGTGTGAGCAAGTCTTGCATATACTCAAGGCAGAGCAAGCAGCTACACTTTCGGTGAAAGTGAACACGGTCAGCACGTGGCACATGTCTGCATACAAGACGTATGAGATGTTTCGTTCGACATAGACTGGACTACTGACCGTCGAAGATCTGCAGGTGGACCTGCATATGCACGTCAGCATGAGTGAATCGCGAAGGAAGGTGTCAAGACCTTGGTGGGCTGTGTGTAGAGCTTCGCATTCACTTCTTGACGATGAGCATCTCTCAAAGCACCTCGTCGAGTCGGAAATCTGTCGGGGTAGGCCGCTCGGTGTGCCAAATAAACGATCTCGTCCCGGAGCACTTCACTGTTCCCGGCGATGATGTACAACGGACAGAGATTGCCCAGCGACCCTTGCAGAATGGGCGACACCAGAGGATGGGACAGCTGTCTGCAAGTCGTGAGACCTTCCACTTGGTACAGATCGAATCACCACTCACTCTGTAGTTGCGTACAGCTGGATTTGAGAATGCAATTCCAGGCTCTCCGCATTGGGATCCTTCATCTGAACTTTGGGCGGCCGGGGTTCCCAGTAATCCACATCGTAATTATCCGGGTCCACCTGAGTGTGGTCGCCTTCTCCGCCTTTTTCGTCTTCGTCCTTCCCTTCGAGGCGGGCTTTCGTCGGTCGTAGTTGGTCAGCATGCCCGGGTTCCGGAGGATCGTTGTGTTTGGAAGGACCAACGCGTCCGTCATTTCCAGGAAGCGAGTCGACCGGCCAGGTGGTACTAGGTTTCGCCAGAAATCCATGTTGAGGAATGATGTCTGTTTCTGTATTTTCCATAACGCTGGGGAAAGAGTGTGTCAAATCCACCCAAGGGGATATAAGAATAGCTCCAGCCGCCATGGGAAGTCCCATGTCACGTATCAGAGTCAGGACCGTCACACACAGACCAGCACCAGCAGAGTCCCCTGCAGAATCTGAGTTGTTATTAACGATATACCAATATGCTGACCTGCGAGAACAATCTTCGAAGGCGGAACAGGCTGGTGAACTGCATCGGGAGGTGGTTGAATAAGGTACAGATCTGCGCAACATCTTAGCAATTGTGTCGAGATGAGGGAAGATTGCTCACATGCAGCGAGAACATCTTGGACAGGACACGGCCAAGGGTATTGCGGCGCCTTTCTACATCACGATCAGCATTTCAATCGCTAGCGGTTTGGGGAATTCTGCATACCGATAGTTCACAGCGAATACCCTCCCATGTATCTTGCGAGCTAGAGTCAAGAGTTACGGAGACCCGCAGGAGAATGCACAATTGAAAACTTGCCGTATCGGATGAGCTGATATCTATGTGTATCTAGCGAGAAGATCAGTGCATATAGCTGCTGCAAACTCGCCACAAACTTATGGAGCCCCAAAAGTATCCGCCTTCGCAAGGTACGATGAATTGTCCAGGTAGCATTCGAGATCGTGCTCACCCCCGTGTACGTATAACTGCAAGGGAGATAAGTAGAGATAGCACCATTTCGGCTTCGGCTTACCATGACTCTATCCAACTTCTCCATCCTCACAGTAGTTTCCTCGTCCTCGGTCAACTTGCGTGAGAGCGGGTTGCGGACCTCCTCGTCGTCGTCAAGAAACTCCTTCTGCGTGATCCACTCCGCGTCGACTCCGTCGAGGCCGCGGACCTGCCACCACCTCTCGCCGCCGACGACGGACTTGAGCTCCTCCGGTCCGAACCAGTCCACAAGCACGTCGGCGGCCTGGTTGCACGTCGCGAGGCTGATGCTGCATGCCGCCACCGCAGCCCAGTAGGGCGCCGGGACGTGGGTGTTCGTGCTTTCGTGCTGTGAGTGGTGTATCTCGCGTGGACACGCGCGGTGTGGACTGACAACTTCTGCAGGCTCTCTACCGTGTTCTTCGTGCCCAGCTCGATGAAAGCTTTGACGATGTGGAACGCTCTGGACGGATGGGACTCAATGGAGGTTGCGAGCAACAAGGAAGCGATCTTGGGCTCACTGGTCGAAGAATATATCATCCTGCGCCTCGTCTGGTCGCTTGTCCCGCTGTTTCTTGGCGAGGCGTTTACTGTGCTTGGCGAAGGTCTTGACAACAACTGGTGTGATGTGCACGGCGGCAGAGACAGTCGAAACAGGCATCCCGAGCGAGCGTGTGCGAAGAAGGTGTATAAAGAATGGCAGGTCGTCTTCGCGATACTACGTCATGGTTGAGGTCAATCGAGTGTTATGATCGGTGCACAGCCACAGGTGCTTTGCATCAGCATGTTCCAATCTAATCAGCTCGGCCGATCAGAGTGAGAACTCTCCCTCGAGATCAAGCAGAACCCTCCCGAGCGTATGGAGACCGCCCCGGCATCCCGGATGATCAATTGAAGGCCTCTGCTTGGCTCATGTCTGTGCATCTGTTTCCGGGTGTCTCGGGCACGGAGTCGGCAGTTCCTCGCTGGTGCCTGTGGTACCAATCTGATTTCCGGTTAGGCTTTTGATATGGCAGGATACATGGGTGTGCCCACTTGACCGGCAGCAGTCGTCTTTCTTCCCACTGCCACCATGCCGGCCACTGGGCTGCTACTGCTGAGCACACTGTTCCCCATCGCTCAGGTTTTTGCGGCCCCCAAAGGCAACATCCCGCGGCCCGCGGATCCCTTCCTCGACCCGAAACACGATGTCTTCAATCCACTGCGTTATATTGCCTCGAACGTGCTCACGGGGATTGCTTTCGGTGCGCTGCCACGAAACCCACTCCCGACCTGAAAATAAAATGATTGCTCTGCGAAGGCTTGATCTTGCTGGTCGCGTTTATAGAGACGGGTCTGGTCTACAAACGCGGAGCGAGGTTCATGCTTTCGATGGTCATCGGATGCTACAGTGCGTCCTCTCAGCCCAACGCGCCTTCCACGCGGCTCGAATCAAACGTGTTCTCTAGCGTTTGCGATCGGATTCGGCACACGCTTCGGTCTGCACTCGAATCCGGAGGGTAAAGGTGAGTACCAAGTATATCTATCCCTGAAATCAGATTTTTCACCGTGTTTCCAGGTCTGTACATCGTGGAATACCTCTTCATTGTCCTCTCTCCGTGCGTGCGCCGTGCTTGCGATGCACCCAGCCTGCACTGACGCGCGAGCAGTTGCGCCTTCATCGCATCGGAGTACGTCCTCCTTGGCAGACTGGCGCGGTACCTCGAGTGCGACAGACACCTCATGGTGCCAGCCCGCCGGATCACCAAGATATTCGTCTCTTCAGACATCACGACGTTCCTTATCCAAGTGAGGGCGCTGCCTTCCCGCGCCACCTCCCAACCGGGCTCAATTCTCCCAGGCTGTCGGCGGCGCCGTGTCTGTGTCCTCCCAGGAGCTCAAGATCAACACAGGCAAGCCCGCTCTCTCGCCGGGCCTAACCCCAGACTGACTAACGTCCACAGTGGGATCACATGTGAATTGACTCGGGGGCGTCCACAAATCGACATCTGACCATCCCCGTGTCTAGATCTTCCTCGCTGGGCTTGTCCTGCAGCTGGTCTCCTTCCTCGTGTTCATCACCGTGTTCGTGGTTTTCCTGTACCGTCTGTACACGTACGACAGGGCGCTGTGGGCCAGCGCGAGCAGCACGAAGCAGCGCGACTGGCGGATCCTGGTCGGTGCTATGGCGCTCAGCTTCCTCGGCATCCTCGTGCGGCACGATCTCTGCACCTTCCCCCTACGTCACTGATCCGGCCGCAGATTCGGTCCCTCTACCGTGTCATCGAGCTGTCCCAGGGATACGTCGGCCATCTCGCCACAGACGAGGCTTTGTTCTACGCGCTGGGTTCGTCACAGCAGACCGTTATTCGAATGATGCAATCTCACACCCCTCCAGACACGCTGCCTCTCTTTTTGGCGATCGCAGTCTATGTCTTCGTATGGCCAGGCAACTACATCGGAGACGGAACACCTCCGATTGCCGATCAAACCGAGAGCACCAAGGACACGGAACTGGCTGAAACGCACTAGACTACTCCCGTCAAGTTAATTCTAGATGATGCAAGCATGAAAATTCACATAAACGCGTGGGCATCCTTGAGAAACACGACGGCACGTGATCGCGATTGGAGGCGATCGAAATTGAATATGGGTCATCTCTGCTCTGAATCCAGATTCGAGGGAAGAACACCGAGATGCACACTGACCGAGAATCTTCGTACAAATACAGAAACGTATCGAATGTCCCATCTCGGGTCGGAGATCCTTTACATAGACGACAAACATCAGGCCCAGGGGTCAATGTAGTCCCTCCAACACACCCTTGGTAAGCTTGGAAAGCCAAGGACGACGAGTCAGCAGATTGCAGATAGATAAAAATACAGAAACTGTAGCACGGTACACAGATATACAGCATGTCCAGCAGCATTTCATGGAATCAAGCCATGCGTCCTCAACAGTGCTCCCCATCTAGCGCAAATCGTCAGTCCATCTCGTTCCCAAATCCAAAAAGCGACCAGACTCACTCTTCTCGCTCGACCTCCATCTCCGCCATGCGGCGCTTCAAGTCCCTACATACAGATCCCGAAACAGTCAATGACGCGGTAAGATCGGCGGACGATGGTCACGCACGAGTTTTCGCGACTGAGCGCGTTCCTGTCTTCCTTGGTTTTCCGCAGGTCCGCGGTCATCGAGGCCCAGGCTTCCTCGTCAGGAAGATTCGCGTCATTGTACATGCTGTCCAGTTCTTCGTTGAAAGCCTGGAACGATTAGGCTTCAGGCGAGATGACAGCAGAGCGCCCCCTGATCACACACACCTCGTACATGATTTCCTTCTCAGCGGTCGCATCGGCAAGCAAGCTCTTGACCAGCTCACACTGGCGCCGTGAGTTCTGCAGCTCAAGCTTCGTCTTCTCCAGCTCGGTCGATTTCTGGTCGCATGCTTCAGCCCATCGAGCGAGCGATCAAACAAACAGAAAACACACCTCGTCGAGCTCGCTGGCCATTTGCTGAACGCCACTCTCGAGTGCCTCCTGGTTCGACGTCGCCCGTGAGAGAATCCCGTCCGCTTCGGATACGAGGGCTGTAAGTGAACGTTGTGCGTCGTCTGAGCCACTGCGTCGTGGAGTGCTCCAGGGAGCAGGAGCGGCAGCAGCGCCTCGTGGTGTGCCATCGCCGCTGGCCCTCTGCCCGATGAGCTGTCTCATCTCCTCCATCCGATCGATAGCAACTTGAGTCTGAGCAATTCGTCAGCGAAACGCATTGCAAGAATACAACACAATCCACTCACCGACGCCCGCTGCGGTGTGCGCGTCATCTTGGACGGTGAAGCCGAACGGGCCGGCTCGTCGGTGCTGAGCATCCCGATCTCGACCCGCATCCGTTTAACGGCGCGGTGACACGACTCGACATCCTCTTTGGTCGTCTGCGACAGCTGCAGCACCCGGTTTGGTTCCCGGCCTTTGGTGGACGAGCGTATCGAGACAGCCCGGCCATTCAGTTGAGGCGACACACGCGCGGTCATCGGTTTAGCACGTGTCAACGGAGACTCGTGCCGCGTCACAGGTTTCCTCGGCGGAGGGTCAGCGTGGTCCGCACTGCGTAGGGACGTCTTCTTCTTGATCGACAGAGGCTCGATTGGCGCCGCAGACGTCGACGCGCGTGGAGTAGCTTCGGTGTTGCCGGTCGGAAACAGAGGCAGTCGTTTGCTCCGAGGGATGGCTGTCGCCCGTGAAGCCGCTCCACGCGCTGCATTTGAGGCATTTTCAAGAGCAAGATCATCATCCATCGAAGGCAATCGGGCCGCGGACTCGAGCATAGGGGTCTTTGCAGGCGGTAAGGGGGAAGGGCTCCTAGGCCCCAAAGGACGTCGTTCATGAGATAAGGACCGAGATTGTCGAGGCGGAGAATCAAGGGGGGCCCAGATTGCATTCGCGACAGGGGCCGTCCTGGGGCTTCGTCTACAGAAAGTCAGCTCAGGTAAGAGTAAAGCAAAGCGTGTGCTTCTTTACCTTCATAGATAGTTTCTTCCGAAGGATTCGGAAGGGGTGTCGGAGCGATGGTCTTGCCATGCTGAGTCTGACTGTTCTTTCTCGCCAACGCCAGCTGGAAGGCCAAGTCCCGTTCCGTGGAGTCCATGTCACGCACATGGTCCAGGATAGTCCGATCGTCATCCTCGATGTCACTGTACTCGAGCCCCCGGTCTCGTGAGCTGGCCCGCGAGGAACTACGGCTCGGAGGCCGACTCTCCGGCTCAGGTGTGCCCCCAGGTGACCTGCTTTTCCTGAGAACATTCCTCGACCGCGACCGGGACGAGCGCGTTCTTAGCGAATCATCGTCCGTGGACATCATAGTGGTCGCAGTGGAATTAGACCGCTGCGAGAATTTAGTAAGGCTGCCATCTCCCGTGCTTGTGGTCTGCGTGTAAATCGATGACCGGCTGTTCGAAGACTTGGACCGGCGATGGCCATTGACAGAACCCCCGAAGAAGTCACCCATGGACGATCCGGGGCGAGAATTGAAGAGGTTCCGCGAGATGGCATCCAATCCGAAGATCGCGGCTTTGGACCGATGCGTTGGAGTCGAGGGTGCTGAGTTCTTCCCCGTACGGAACTCGAACAAGCCAAACTGATGAACTAAACGAAAGTTAGACAGGCTCTTGTAGCGTAAAAAAGGACTCACTTGTAAGCACAATCCGTGCTGGAACGCGAGTAGTTTGCACAATGTCTTCTTCGCCAGGGTCCGATGGGTCACTCGATGAAACTTTGTATCGACAAACACCCCCAGCCAGGGGCTGCAAGCGAATCACAGCGAAAGGAGGCCCACCCAGACCAAACGGGATTCTGTCCGCCGAACCAAGCGCATCAATGTGGACCACAATTTTCGTCTGCGTGATCCTCGTCAATGTGAACACGTAGAGTGCCGATTGACTCACCTTTTTAGCTTCTTGCAGAAAGGCTGTCCGCTGGTAGACGTTATAATAGGTGCGCGCGACAGTCGTTCGTCCGCCCTTGGTCTCGACCTCCATCTCATCTGCCCGCAAAACGACCGATTGCCCTGCCCTGGCTCTGTATGTGGCCTGAACCTTCCAGAGATTCTCCAAAAAGCGCTCCTTGTCGGCTTGGCTCTGGACAACCAGAGAACGAAATGAGCGCCCGGCCCATCGCTCGTTCTGGTCCATAGGAGGATTCTCCAAATAGAGGTGAATATCTGCGAATCCGTTTCATCAATTGAGAATGCGACTTCAACTTGATCTCACATACCAGTTTCTCCAACATCAGTAACAACGATCTCGGTCACGTCAACGACTCCTTTGCAACTCATCCCACTCTTCTTCCTTGAGCTAGAACGTCCAGTGACCTTTGTCACCTTATCGAGGTCATCAAGACCGACAAGCATCCGACCACTCTTCTCTCCGTGCCCTGCCCGCTTGGCGATCAAAAGTTTGTCATCAAAGAGGAACAGCGTGCATTGCAAAGACCCGGCAGATGAGCTGTTCACCGAAGCGGCAGACGACACTGGTAGATCCAACGGGACATCTTCGACATCAAGACAGTCTATGAAGCGCCGCGAGTTGGAGTACAGATCTGGCGGGAAGCCTTCTATAGTCGAGCTCAAGCAGTGCAGTATCGCCGCGCGTTTCGTCTCTTCATCGGGTTCAGCGAGGGCGATCTTGTTGGCGCACTCAATCGCTTCAAGCAACTTGGCGCGCTGCGGGTCGTCGGGTGGCATGTATTTGGTGATCGTCCGGAATATCAGTGTACACTGGGGGATTCGTTGTACGGGCTTGATGAGGAGCTCTCGTAGGCCGACGCGATTCCTCGAGTCTGAGCCCGCGTACTTGATGCGCTGGGGATAGTATCAGCAGCTGCGTCCTTCCTCGCAGTGAGAGCCACACACTTCGATGTAAGCCGCAAAAGGCGACGATTTGCGCGCGATCTCTCTCTGAAACCACCGTTGTGCCTCCTCTCGTTTCGTGTAGTACTGCTTGTACTGCTCGAACCCGCGTGAATCTCTAAAGTGTCGGATTGCCACGTCTCCGACTCCTCCAACGGCTTTGGGTCCATCGGGCTCGATCATCTTCTCCAAATCCGCTAGAAACGCTTCGTTTACAGGGAGCAGATGATCGATGTTGCCGAACAAGGTGTTCGCCTCGTATGGGGGGATTAGCGCCGTGTTCTTGCTCTTCGCGAAGTTACGCAGTGGGTCAGCATAGTCGTTCTTCAACGACCGGAGCGCGCGAACGTAAGACCTTTCTGTTTCGACCAGTTCTTGTATGGAGGAGGCGAGTTTCGATGTGTCTGTAAGCGCGCGCTTGCGTTGGCCAGCGAATTCCTACAGAAGAATGGATTGAGAGACCACAAAGGGGACAGAGAGCTGAGACACGTACGGTGTGAGTGGATTCAGAGTCCGAGGAAGATGAGAGAGATTCTGTTTCAGACGCCACTGTGTCTCCGAGAGACAGCACGAGGTCCTGAATATCTGTAAAGCCGGTCAGGGGAAAACCGTGTGCTCGTAGCTTGAATGGCGCGCCTTCAGGTAGCCTCCTCCCATTCTCCGAACCTTCGACAACAACTCCGCAGAAGAAGACGCGTTTGGTCTGGCCGGTGGTGGAGTCGCAGCGAGAGCGCTGGCGCTCGTGGCCGGTAGATAGAGGAATCGTCTTGCGGGGAGAGGTGCTGAGGGACATAATGCCACCGGGGGCGAAGGAAGGTTAGTAGGGGAATGGCACGGCCCGGAGTCGAATTAGCGTTCTCGCCGCAGAGTTTGGGACCGCTTCAAGTTCAACAAACGATCGAAGTCGCGATCACGTGAGAATGTGTCAGCACTCTGATGACATCACCTACTACGACAAGTTTGCTCTCGCCGTAAGCTGCTGCCCGCCCAGAGGGACCGTCGCGACCATCGCAGCAGCCGAGTCAAATTAACTCGAACGTCCAATTTCAGAATCATCCAGTGTTGTCGTTTTATCTCCATTGCGGGCATGCTTGACCGGAGATTCCGATATTGGCCAAAGCTGATGGTAGAAGCCATCCACGCCACAAGGTGCATGAGATGGACCTACAGGCGTGTCCGGTAGATGACC